ACACATGTAATGAATTCGCTAACACTTCATCTCCTGTTGTGAGCCACGATGATCTCGACAAAACGCTTCCTGATCAAGTACGGGAATTGCAGAAGAAGTGTGAAGATGTGAAGACAAAGGCCGAACAACAAGCAAAGTTGAACGCCGTCGCACCTGAAATCTTGATGATCTCGGAAAGTTTGCAGCAGCAACCGGAAGAGATCCCATCAAATCTCAACGAACAACAATCTGTACTTGAAGATCTCGAATCAAAGAAGCAACGCCTCGAAAACCTCTTGCAGACCATACCAGCCGGCGATGCAACGGAGGAGTTGAGGCAAAAGAGCGCATGGGATTTGTCAAGACTGAAAGACCTTCTGAAGAGACTTGGCGACTCAGTCGGCGACAAGCTGGCTGCGTTAGCCGCTTTCAATGCCGCACGCAAGGATGCTGAAGATCAGCTTCTCGCCATCACTGGTCCTGTGTCTGAAGAGAAGACACCTGACGAACTGAAGAAGGACGAAGAATCGTTAGCTAGATTACAGCAAAATATCTCACAACTCAACCGTGATGGTCTGGACGACGAACAGAGAGACGAACATGCTCAACTGCTCGACCGTATCAACAAGACACTTGATGTTCTCAAGGTTTGTCGTATTTTCATCGTTTATCTATGTATCTGTATTGATTTTCACGATTTTCATTCCTATAGCAACTTACTTGCTTGCTTTGATATCCGTAAGGCTTAGCACTGAACAGTAGAGATCCTCTGAAAATCTAATCACTAGCGTTGGACTGAATTCGACTATGTTCATCTAGACGAGAGAAAAATGTTGCAAGAGTGAGAGTGTGCAGTGAGTGAGTCAGAAATTAGCTATCAATTCCCACTTTTATGGACTTTTCGGTTCATTTTCATTTCTTGCATAACCGTCAGGGCGCTCGCACTTGCAGGATTCTACTAGTTACCGTGTGTTTTTAGCAGCGTCGAAGTGCACTGGAGGACGAACTTTCTAAACGAGCAGCCGAACAACAACTGGCAGATACCATCACACCGATATCCACACGATTAGTCCAACTTGTCAACGATGCTAATCGGCTGTTGGGAGATGCAGAAGGAGTACCAGCACAATATAGACCAACTGCAGAAGATTTGGCTGATGAATGCAAGAAGGCCGAAACTCTTCTGCAGGATGCACCAAAATCGCATCCTTCTGTGCAAGCCCTCGAAGCAGTCCTATCTCCCGCTCAAAGCATGATCCCTGTCTTGCAAGAACGCGCCAACAACTGGGATGCATTTGTGCGCATAAGAGAAGAAGCGGACATTGAACTGGACAAATTGCGAAAGCCACTTGACGAAGTCTTGGCAAAACCAAGAAGATCTACCAATGACGCTAAGAAAGACTTCGATGTTATTTCTGAGGAGAGGAAAAAGACGAATATTCTCAACGACAAAGTTCGTCAACTTCAACAGCTTTCTGAACTTCTCGATCCTCTTGAGAGCGCCTATGCCGACGTTCGATTCATCGACGTTGACGCAGAACAGATGGAGAAGCAGTATGATGACGTACTGAATGAGATGTCATCTGAAATCGAGGACGAGAATCTGCTCTGTGACTCTGTAGATCACTTCAACACCGAGATGAATTCTATCTCTGATCTGCTATCCAAAGAGCCCACCAAAGAGAATATTGCAAATGTCGAACAATTCCAACTTCCGGCACTTCGAGCACAACTAGCGATGCTGAAGGAGAAACAAGACGAGGCAAATCATGCTCGTAAGCATGTGGATCCAGACTCCTCTCGCTTCGCTGCCCTAGAAGATCGTATGAAGAGCCTTGACTCGATGCTAGAAGATGCCAAGAAAGCCACTGAGAAGGACGAACAGGAGCGTATCATCGTCATGATTACTGTACGACTCTCGCAACTTGAAACGCTTCCTCTCCATGAGCTTACCGAAGATTCACTGAATGAGGTGGAGAACCAACTTCAGAATCTTCCTAAGGACAAGGCTGAACAGCTACAGAAGCAAATCGAGGACTTGCGAAATGCCAAGAAGCAACAGGATGACACTATTCGTGACACTGCTCAACGCTTGGCACAAATCGAAGATGCAATTGCTGCACTTCCAACAGCTCAAGACATTCCGACACTCGAAGACAAACTTGCACGAATGCGTGAAATTCGCGAAAGTCTACTGAATTTGCCAATTACTGCTGAGAAGGATGTTGACGATAGGGCAGAGAATGACAGGAAGAAAGTCGACGAAATGACGAAACATGATGAAGAACAACTTCAGAATATGTTGACTGAACGCGATCTTCGCAACACTGCGGTTCAATCGCTTGATCAACTCGAACAAGACGTTGCGGACATCGAACAAAGCTTGCCTGTTCCATCGACATCCTCTAATGATGTTATAGCGTTCCAGCAGAATAGAATACCAAAACTGACAGCAAGAGTAGACGCGATCGCTGACATTCCTGCTGACTTACTGCCAAAGAAGGAAGAACTTTCGCATAGAATCGATGACGTCAATAAGAAATTGGACGATCAAGTTAATGACCTGAAACGATTCGAAGACAAGACCATCGAACTACAGAATGTTGTCAACGAGTGTCGTGGCAAGATGAAGAAGCTAGAGTTACCAGAACCGATCGATACTGCTCAGAAAGATGCTGAAGACCTGTCGGCAATTCTAGCCACAATCGAGGCAATTCCTCAGGAAGAACTGTCGCCGCGAAATCAACTGGCTCGTGATGCAAGCACCATCAAGCAACAGGCTAAGGTAACCGTTTTTACTAGTTTTTCTTCATTATTTAGGTTTTGATAGAGGGGAAAGCATTTCTGGACTGATTTTAGGAGCAACTTTCTACACTGCGAAAAGCTCTTGACGATGAAGAAAAGGCTCGTGAAAGACAGGACGAGGTGAAGAACAGATTGTCAGCCATTGCCGACAGCCTAAACAAGGTTGATCCGCAAAATGTTGAATCTGCGCAGCAGCTGGTTTCAAGCCTTGAGCCTGAACTGCAGAAGCTGACTGGCATCGCTGACACATGTAATGAATTCGCTAACACTTCATCTCCTGTTGTGAGCCACGATGATCTCGACAAAACGCTTCCTGATCAAGTACGGGAATTGCAGAAGAAGTGTGAAGATGTGAAGACAAAGGCCGAACAACAAGCAAAGTTGAACGCCGTCGCACCTGAAATCTTGATGATCTCGGAAAGTTTGCAGCAGCAACCGGAAGAGATCCCATCAAATCTCAACGAACAACAATCTGTACTTGAAGATCTCGAATCAAAGAAGCAACGCCTCGAAAACCTCTTGCAGACCATACCAGCCGGCGATGCAACGGAGGAGTTGAGGCAAAAGAGCGCATGGGATTTGTCAAGACTGAAAGACCTTCTGAAGAGACTTGGCGACTCAGTCGGCGACAAGCTGGCTGCGTTAGCCGCTTTCAATGCCGCACGCAAGGATGCTGAAGATCAGCTTCTTGCCATCACTGGTCCTGTGTCTGAAGAGAAGACACCTGACGAACTGAAGAAGGACGAAGAATCGTTAGCTAGATTACAGCAAAATATCTCACAACTCAACCGTGATGGTCTGGACGACGAACAGAGAGACGAACATGCTCAACTGCTCGACCGTATCAACAAGACACTTGATGTTCTCAAGGTTTGTCGTATTTTCATCGTTTATCTATGTATCTGTATTGATTTTCACGATTTTCATTCCTATAGCAACTTACTTGCTTGCTTTGATATCCGTAAGGCTTAGCACTGAACAGTAGAGATCCTCTGAAAATCTAATCACTAGCGTTGGACTGAATTCGACTATGTTCATCTAGACGAGAGAAAAATGTTGCAAGAGTGAGAGTGTGCAGTGAGTGAGTCAGAAATTAGCTATCAATTCCCACTTTTATGGACTTTTCGGTTCATTTTCATTTCTTGCATAACCGTCAGGGCGCTCGCACTTGCAGGATTCTACTAGTTACCGTGTGTTTTTAGCAGCGTCGAAGTGCACTGGAGGACGAACTTTCTAAACGAGCAGCCGAACAACAACTGGCAGATACCATCACACCGATATCCACACGATTAGTCCAACTTGTCAACGATGCTAATCGGCTGTTGGGAGATGCAGAAGGAGTACCAGCACAATATAGACCAACTGCAGAAGATTTGGCTGATGAATGCAAGAAGGCCGAAACTCTTCTGCAGGATGCACCAAAATCGCATCCTTCTGTGCAAGCCCTCGAAGCAGTCCTATCTCCCGCTCAAAGCATGATCCCTGTCTTGCAAGAACGCGCCAACAACTGGGATGCATTTGTGCGCATAAGAGAAGAAGCGGACATTGAACTGGACAAATTGCGAAAGCCACTTGACGAAGTCTTGGCAAAACCAAGAAGATCTACCAATGACGCTAAGAAAGACTTCGATGTTATTTCTGAGGAGAGGAAAAAGACGAATATTCTCAACGACAAAGTTCGTCAACTTCAACAGCTTTCTGAACTTCTCGATCCTCTTGAGAGCGCCTATGCCGACGTTCGATTCATCGACGTTGACGCAGAACAGATGGAGAAGCAGTATGATGACGTACTGAATGAGATGTCATCTGAAATCGAGGACGAGAATCTGCTCTGTGACTCTGTAGATCACTTCAACACCGAGATGAATTCTATCTCTGATCTGCTATCCAAAGAGCCCACCAAAGAGAATATTGCAAATGTCGAACAATTCCAACTTCCGGCACTTCGAGCACAACTAGCGATGCTGAAGGAGAAACAAGACGAGGCAAATCATGCTCGTAAGCATGTGGATCCAGACTCCTCTCGCTTCGCTGCCCTAGAAGATCGTATGAAGAGCCTTGACTCGATGCTAGAAGATGCCAAGAAAGCCACTGAGAAGGACGAACAGGAGCGTATCATCGTCATGATTACTGTACGACTCTCGCAACTTGAAACGCTTCCTCTCCATGAGCTTACCGAAGATTCACTGAATGAGGTGGAGAACCAACTTCAGAATCTTCCTAAGGACAAGGCTGAACAGCTACAGAAGCAAATCGAGGACTTGCGAAATGCCAAGAAGCAACAGGATGACACTATTCGTGACACTGCTCAACGCTTGGCACAAATCGAAGATGCAATTGCTGCACTTCCAACAGCTCAAGACATTCCGACACTCGAAGACAAACTTGCACGAATGCGTGAAATTCGCGAAAGTCTACTGAATTTGCCGATTACTGCTGAGAAGGATGTTGACGATAGGGCAGAGAATGATAGGAAGAAAGTCGACGAAATGACGAAACATGATGAAGAACAACTTCAGAATATGTTGACTGAACGCGATCTTCGCAACACTGCGGTTCAATCGCTTGATCAACTCGAACAAGACGTTGCGGACATCGAACAAAGCTTGCCTGTTCCATCGACATCCTCTAATGATGTTATAGCGTTCCAGCAGAATAGAATACCAAAACTGACAGCAAGAGTAGACGCGATCGCTGACATTCCTGCTGACTTACTGCCAAAGAAGGAAGAACTTTCGCATAGAATCGATGACGTCAATAAGAAATTGGACGATCAAGTTAATGACCTGAAACGATTCGAAGACAAGACCATCGAACTACAGAATGTTGTCGACGAGTGTCGTGGCAAGATGAAGAAGCTAGAGTTACCAGAACCGATCGATACTGCTCAGAAAGATGCTGAAGACCTGTCGGCAATTCTAGCCACAATCGAGGCAATTCCTCAGGAAGAACTGTCGCCGCGAAATCAACTGGCTCGTGATGCAAGCACCATCAAGCAACAGGCTAAGGTAACCGTTTTTACTAGTTTTTCTTCATTATTTAGGTTTTGATAGAGGGGAAAGCATTTCTGGAATGATTTTAGGAGCAACTTTCTACACTGCGAAAAGCTCTTGACGATGAAGAAAAGGCTCGTGAAAGACAGGACGAGGTGAAGAACAGATTGTCAGCCATTGCCGACAGCCTAAACAAGGTTGATCCGCAAAATGTTGAATCTGCGCAGCAGCTGGTTTCAAGCCTTGAGCCTGAACTGCAGAAGCTGACTGGCATCGCTGACACATGTAATGAATTCGCTAACACTTCATCTCCTGTTGTGAGCCACGATGATCTCGACAAAACGCTTCCTGATCAAGTACGGGAATTGCAGAAGAAGTGTGAAGATGTGAAGACAAAGGCCGAACAACAAGCAAAGTTGAACGCCGTCGCACCTGAAATCTTGATGATCTCGGAAAGTTTGCAGCAGCAACCGGAAGAGATCCCATCAAATCTCAACGAACAACAATCTGTACTTGAAGATCTCGAATCAAAGAAGCAACGCCTCGAAAACCTCTTGCAGACCATACCAGCCGGCGATGCAACGGAGGAGTTGAGGCAAAAGAGCGCATGGGATTTGTCAAGACTGAAAGACCTTCTGAAGAGACTTGGCGACTCAGTCGGCGACAAGCTGGCTGCGTTAGCCGCTTTCAATGCCGCACGCAAGGATGCTGAAGATCAGCTTCTTGCCATCACTGGTCCTGTGTCTGAAGAGAAGACACCTGACGAACTGAAGAAGGACGAAGAATCGTTAGCTAGATTACAGCAAAATATCTCACAACTCAACCGTGATGGTCTGGACGACGAACAGAGAGACGAACATGCTCAACTGCTCGACCGTATCAACAAGACACTTGATGTTCTCAAGGTTTGTCGTATTTTCATCGTTTATCTATGTATCTGTATTGATTTTCACGATTTTCATTCCTATAGCAACTTACTTGCTTGCTTTGATATCCGTAAGGCTTAGCACTGAACAGTAGAGATCCTCTGAAAATCTAATCACTAGCGTTGGACTGAATTCGACTATGTTCATCTAGACGAGAGAAAAATGTTGCAAGAGTGAGAGTGTGCAGTGAGTGAGTCAGAAATTAGCTATCAATTCCCACTTTTATGGACTTTTCGGTTCATTTTCATTTCTTGCATAACCGTCAGGGCGCTCGCACTTGCAGGATTCTACTAGTTACCGTGTGTTTTTAGCAGCGTCGAAGTGCACTGGAGGACGAACTTTCTAAACGAGCAGCCGAACAACAACTGGCAGATACCATCACACCGATATCCACACGATTAGTCCAACTTGTCAACGATGCTAATCGGCTGTTGGGAGATGCAGAAGGAGTACCAGCACAATATAGACCAACTGCAGAAGATTTGGCTGATGAATGCAAGAAGGCCGAAACTCTTCTGCAGGATGCACCAAAATCGCATCCTTCTGTGCAAGCCCTCGAAGCAGTCCTATCTCCCGCTCAAAGCATGATCCCTGTCTTGCAAGAACGCGCCAACAACTGGGATGCATTTGTGCGCATAAGAGAAGAAGCGGACATTGAACTGGACAAATTGCGAAAGCCACTTGACGAAGTCTTGGCAAAACCAAGAAGATCTACCAATGACGCTAAGAAAGACTTCGATGTTATTTCTGAGGAGAGGAAAAAGACGAATATTCTCAACGACAAAGTTCGTCAACTTCAACAGCTTTCTGAACTTCTCGATCCTCTTGAGAGCGCCTATGCCGACGTTCGATTCATCGACGTTGACGCAGAACAGATGGAGAAGCAGTATGATGACGTACTGAATGAGATGTCATCTGAAATCGAGGACGAGAATCTGCTCTGTGACTCTGTAGATCACTTCAACACCGAGATGAATTCTATCTCTGATCTGCTATCCAAAGAGCCCACCAAAGAGAATATTGCAAATGTCGAACAATTCCAACTTCCGGCACTTCGAGCACAACTAGCGATGCTGAAGGAGAAACAAGACGAGGCAAATCATGCTCGTAAGCATGTGGATCCAGACTCCTCTCGCTTTGCTGCCCTAGAAGATCGTATGAAGAGCCTTGACTCGATGCTAGAAGATGCCAAGAAAGCCACTGAGAAGGACGAACAGGAGCGTATCATCGTCATGATTACTGTACGACTCTCGCAACTTGAAACGCTTCCTCTCCATGAGCTTACCGAAGATTCACTGAATGAGGTGGAGAACCAACTTCAGAATCTTCCTAAGGACAAGGCTGAACAGCTACAGAAGCAAATCGAGGACTTGCGAAATGCCAAGAAGCAACAGGATGACACTATTCGTGACACTGCTCAACGCTTGGCACAAATCGAAGATGCAATTGCTGCACTTCCAACAGCTCAAGACATTCCGACACTCGAAGACAAACTTGCACGAATGCGTGAAATTCGCGAAAGTCTACTGAATTTGCCGATTACTGCTGAGAAGGATGTTGACGATAGGGCAGAGAATGATAGGAAGAAAGTCGACGAAATGACGAAACATGATGAAGAACAACTTCAGAATATGTTGACTGAACGCGATCTTCGCAACACTGCGGTTCAATCGCTTGATCAACTCGAACAAGACGTTGCGGACATCGAACAAAGCTTGCCTGTTCCATCGACATCCTCTAATGATGTTATAGCGTTCCAGCAGAATAGAATACCAAAACTGACAGCAAGAGTAGACGCGATCGCTGACATTCCTGCTGACTTACTGCCAAAGAAGGAAGAACTTTCGCATAGAATCGATGACGTCAATAAGAAATTGGACGATCAAGTTAATGACCTGAAACGATTCGAAGACAAGACCATCGAACTACAGAATGTTGTCGACGAGTGTCGTGGCAAGATGAAGAAGCTAGAGTTACCAGAACCGATCGATACTGCTCAGAAAGATGCTGAAGACCTGTCGGCAATTCTAGCCACAATCGAGGCAATTCCTCAGGAAGAACTGTCGCCGCGAAATCAACTGGCTCGTGATGCAAGCACCATCAAGCAACAGGCTAAGGTAACCGTTTTTACTAGTTTTTCTTCATTATTTAGGTTTTGATAGAGGGGAAAGCATTTCTGGAATGATTTTAGGAGCAACTTTCTACACTGCGAAAAGCTCTTGACGATGAAGAAAAGGCTCGTGAAAGACAGGACGAGGTGAAGAACAGATTGTCAGCCATTGCCGACAGCCTAAACAAGGTTGATCCGCAAAATGTTGAATCTGCGCAGCAGCTGGTTTCAAGCCTTGAGCCTGAACTGCAGAAGCTGACTGGCATCGCTGACACATGTAATGAATTCGCTAACACTTCATCTCCTGTTGTGAGCCACGATGATCTCGACAAAACGCTTCCTGATCAAGTACGGGAATTGCAGAAGAAGTGTGAAGATGTGAAGACAAAGGCCGAACAACAAGCAAAGTTGAACGCCGTCGCACCTGAAATCTTGATGATCTCGGAAAGTTTGCAGCAGCAACCGGAAGAGATCCCATCAAATCTCAACGAACAACAATCTGTACTTGAAGATCTCGAATCAAAGAAGCAACGCCTCGAAAACCTCTTGCAGACCATACCAGCCGGCGATGCAACGGAGGAGTTGAGGCAAAAGAGCGCATGGGATTTGTCAAGACTGAAAGACCTTCTGAAGAGACTTGGCGACTCAGTCGGCGACAAGCTGGCTGCGTTAGCCGCTTTCAATGCCGCACGCAAGGATGCTGAAGATCAGCTTCTTGCCATCACTGGTCCTGTGTCTGAAGAGAAGACACCTGACGAACTGAAGAAGGACGAAGAATCGTTAGCTAGATTACAGCAAAATATCTCACAACTCAACCGTGATGGTCTGGACGACGAACAGAGAGACGAACATGCTCAACTGCTCGACCGTATCAACAAGACACTTGATGTTCTCAAGGTTTGTCGTATTTTCATCGTTTATCTATGTATCTGTATTGATTTTCACGATTTTCATTCCTATAGCAACTTACTTGCTTGCTTTGATATCCGTAAGGCTTAGCACTGAACAGTAGAGATCCTCTGAAAATCTAATCACTAGCGTTGGACTGAATTCGACTATGTTCATCTAGACGAGAGAAAAATGTTGCAAGAGTGAGAGTGTGCAGTGAGTGAGTCAGAAATTAGCTATCAATTCCCACTTTTATGGACTTTTCGGTTCATTTTCATTTCTTGCATAACCGTCAGGGCGCTCGCACTTGCAGGATTCTACTAGTTACCGTGTGTTTTTAGCAGCGTCGAAGTGCACTGGAGGACGAACTTTCTAAACGAGCAGCCGAACAACAACTGGCAGATACCATCACACCGATATCCACACGATTAGTCCAACTTGTCAACGATGCTAATCGGCTGTTGGGAGATGCAGAAGGAGTACCAGCACAATATAGACCAACTGCAGAAGATTTGGCTGATGAATGCAAGAAGGCCGAAACTCTTCTGCAGGATGCACCAAAATCGCATCCTTCTGTGCAAGCCCTCGAAGCAGTCCTATCTCCCGCTCAAAGCATGATCCCTGTCTTGCAAGAACGCGCCAACAACTGGGATGCATTTGTGCGCATAAGAGAAGAAGCGGACATTGAACTGGACAAATTGCGAAAGCCACTTGACGAAGTCTTGACAAAACCAAGAAGATCTACCAATGACGCTAAGAAAGACTTCGATGTTATTTCTGAGGAGAGGAAAAAGACGAATATTCTCAACGACAAAGTTCGTCAACTTCAACAGCTTTCTGAACTTCTCGATCCTCTTGAGAGCGCCTATGCCGACGTTCGATTCATCGACGTTGACGCAGAACAGATGGAGAAGCAGTATGATGACGTACTGAATGAGATGTCATCTGAAATCGAGGACGAGAATCTGCTCTGTGACTCTGTAGATCACTTCAACACCGAGATGAATTCTATCTCTGATCTGCTATCCAAAGAGCCCACCAAAGAGAATATTGCAAATGTCGAACAATTCCAACTTCCGGCACTTCGAGCACAACTAGCGATGCTGAAGGAGAAACAAGACGAGGCAAATCATGCTCGTAAGCATGTGGATCCAGACTCCTCTCGCTTCGCTGCCCTAGAAGATCGTATGAAGAGCCTTGACTCGATGCTAGAAGATGCCAAGAAAGCCACTGAGAAGGACGAACAGGAGCGTATCATCGTCATGATTACTGTACGACTCTCGCAACTTGAAACGCTTCCTCTCCATGAGCTTACCGAAGATTCACTGAATGAGGTGGAGAACCAACTTCAGAATCTTCCTAAGGACAAGGCTGAACAGCTACAGAAGCAAATCGAGGACTTGCGAAATGCCAAGAAGCAACAGGATGACACTATTCGTGACACTGCTCAACGCTTGGCACAAATCGAAGATGCAATTGCTGCACTTCCAACAGCTCAAGACATTCCGACACTCGAAGACAAACTTGCACGAATGCGTGAAATTCGCGAAAGTCTACTGAATTTGCCGATTACTGCTGAGAAGGATGTTGACGATAGGGCAGAGAATGACAGGAAGAAAGTCGACGAAATGACGAAACATGATGAAGAACAACTTCAGAATATGTTGACTGAACGCGATCTTCGCAACACTGCGGTTCAATCGCTTGATCAACTCGAACAAGACGTTGCGGACATCGAACAAAGCTTGCCTGTTCCATCGACATCCTCTAATGATGTTATAGCGTTCCAGCAGAATAGAATACCAAAACTGACAGCAAGAGTAGACGCGATCGCTGACATTCCTGCTGACTTACTGCCAAAGAAGGAAGAACTTTCGCATAGAATCGATGACGTCAATAAGAAATTGGACGATCAAGTTAATGACCTGAAACGATTCGAAGACAAGACCATCGAACTACAGAATGTTGTCGACGAGTGTCGTGGCAAGATGAAGAAGCTAGAGTTACCAGAACCGATCGATACTGCTCAGAAAGATGCTGAAGACCTGTCGGCAATTCTAGCCACAATCGAGGCAATTCCTCAGGAAGAACTGTCGCCGCGAAATCAACTGGCTCGTGATGCAAGCACCATCAAGCAACAGGCTAAGGTAACCGTTTTTACTAGTTTTTCTTCATTATTTAGGTTTTGATAGAGGGGAAAGCATTTCTGGAATGATTTTAGGAGCAACTTTCTACACTGCGAAAAGCTCTTGACGATGAAGAAAAGGCTCGTGAAAGACAGGACGAGGTGAAGAACAGATTGTCAGCCATTGCCGACAGCCTAAACAAGGTTGATCCGCAAAATGTTGAATCTGCGCAGCAGCTGGTTTCAAGCCTTGAGCCTGAACTGCAGAAGCTGACTGGCATCGCTGACACATGTAATGAATTCGCTAACACTTCATCTCCTGTTGTGAGCCACGATGATCTCGACAAAACGCTTCCTGATCAAGTACGGGAATTGCAGAAGAAGTGTGAAGATGTGAAGACAAAGGCCGAACAACAAGCAAAGTTGAACGCCGTCGCACCTGAAATCTTGATGATCTCGGAAAGTTTGCAGCAGCAACCGGAAGAGATCCCATCAAATCTCAACGAACAACAATCTGTACTTGAAGATCTCGAATCAAAGAAGCAACGCCTCGAAAACCTCTTGCAGACCATACCAGCCGGCGATGCAACGGAGGAGTTGAGGCAAAAGAGCGCATGGGATTTGTCAAGACTGAAAGACCTTCTGAAGAGACTTGGCGACTCAGTCGGCGACAAGCTGGCTGCGTTAGCCGCTTTCAATGCCGCACGCAAGGATGCTGAAGATCAGCTTCTCGCCATCACTGGTCCTGTGTCTGAAGAGAAGACACCTGACGAACTGAAGAAGGACGAAGAATCGTTAGCTAGATTACAGCAAAATATCTCACAACTCAACCGTGATGGTCTGGACGACGAACAGAGAGACGAACATGCTCAACTGCTCGACCGTATCAACAAGACACTTGATGTTCTCAAGGTTTGTCGTATTTTCATCGTTTATCTATGTATCTGTATTGATTTTCACGATTTTCATTCCTATAGCAACTTACTTGCTTGCTTTGATATCCGTAAGGCTTAGCACTGAACAGTAGAGATCCTCTGAAAATCTAATCACTAGCGTTGGACTGAATTCGACTATGTTCATCTAGACGAGAGAAAAATGTTGCAAGAGTGAGAGTGTGCAGTGAGTGAGTCAGAAATTAGCTATCAATTCCCACTTTTATGGACTTTTCGGTTCATTTTCATTTCTTGCATAACCGTCAGGGCGCTCGCACTTGCAGGATTCTACTAGTTACCGTGTGTTTTTAGCAGCGTCGAAGTGCACTGGAGGACGAACTTTCTAAACGAGCAGCCGAACAACAACTGGCAGATACCATCACACCGATATCCACACGATTAGTCCAACTTGTCAACGATGCTAATCGGCTGTTGGGAGATGCAGAAGGAGTACCAGCACAATATAGACCAACTGCAGAAGATTTGGCTGATGAATGCAAGAAGGCCGAAACTCTTCTGCAGGATGCACCAAAATCGCATCCTTCTGTGCAAGCCCTCGAAGCAGTCCTATCTCCCGCTCAAAGCATGATCCCTGTCTTGCAAGAACGCGCCAACAACTGGGATGCATTTGTGCGCATAAGAGAAGAAGCGGACATTGAACTGGACAAATTGCGAAAGCCACTTGACGAAGTCTTGGCAAAACCAAGAAGATCTACCAATGACGCTAAGAAAGACTTCGATGTTATTTCTGAGGAGAGGAAAAAGACGAATATTCTCAACGACAAAGTTCGTCAACTTCAACAGCTTTCTGAACTTCTCGATCCTCTTGAGAGCGCCTATGCCGACGTTCGATTCATCGACGTTGACGCAGAACAGATGGAGAAGCAGTATGATGACGTACTGAATGAGATGTCATCTGAAATCGAGGACGAGAATCTGCTCTGTGACTCTGTAGATCACTTCAACACCGAGATGAATTCTATCTCTGATCTGCTATCCAAAGAGCCCACCAAAGAGAATATTGCAAATGTCGAACAATTCCAACTTCCGGCACTTCGAGCACAACTAGCGATGCTGAAGGAGAAACAAGACGAGGCAAATCATGCTCGTAAGCATGTGGATCCAGACTCCTCTCGCTTCGCTGCCCTAGAAGATCGTATGAAGAGCCTTGACTCGATGCTAGAAGATGCCAAGAAAGCCACTGAGAAGGACGAACAGGAGCGTATCATCGTCATGATTACTGTACGACTCTCGCAACTTGAAACGCTTCCTCTCCATGAGCTTACCGAAGATTCACTGAATGAGGTGGAGAACCAACTTCAGAATCTTCCTAAGGACAAGGCTGAACAGCTACAGAAGCAAATCGAGGACTTGCGAAATGCCAAGAAGCAACAGGATGACACTATTCGTGACACTGCTCAACGCTTGGCACAAATCGAAGATGCAATTGCTGCACTTCCAACAGCTCAAGACATTCCGACACTCGAAGACAAACTTGCACGAATGCGTGAAATTCGCGAAAGTCTACTGAATTTGCCAATTACTGCTGAGAAGGATGTTGACGATAGGGCAGAGAATGACAGGAAGAAAGTCGACGAAATGACGAAACATGATGAAGAACAACTTCAGAATATGTTGACTGAACGCGATCTTCGCAACACTGCGGTTCAATCGCTTGATCAACTCGAACAAGACGTTGCGGACATCGAACAAAGCTTGCCTGTTCCATCGACATCCTCTAATGATGTTATAGCGTTCCAGCAGAATAGAATACCAAAACTGACAGCAAGAGTAGACGCGATCGCTGACATTCCTGCTGACTTACTGCCAAAGAAGGAAGAACTTTCGCATAGAATCGATGACGTCAATAAGAAATTGGACGATCAAGTTAATGACCTGAAACGATTCGAAGACAAGACCATCGAACTACAGAATGTTGTCAACGAGTGTCGTGGCAAGATGAAGAAGCTAGAGTTACCAGAACCGATCGATACTGCTCAGAAAGATGCTGAAGACCTGTCGGCAATTCTAGCCACAATCGAGGCAATTCCTCAGGAAGAACTGTCGCCGCGAAATCAACTGGCTCGTGATGCAAGCACCATCAAGCAACAGGCTAAGGTAACCGTTTTTACTAGTTTTTCTTCATTATTTAGGTTTTGATAGAGGGGAAAGCATTTCTGGACTGATTTTAGGAGCAACTTTCTACACTGCGAAAAGCTCTTGACGATGAAGAAAAGGCTCGTGAAAGACAGGACGAGGTGAAGAACAGATTGTCAGCCATTGCCGACAGCCTAAACAAGGTTGATCCGCAAAATGTTGAATCTGCGCAGCAGCTGGTTTCAAGCCTTGAGCCTGAACTGCAGAAGCTGACTGGCATCGCTGACACATGTAATGAATTCGCTAACACTTCATCTCCTGTTGTGAGCCACGATGATCTCGACAAAACGCTTCCTGATCAAGTACGGGAATTGCAGAAGAAGTGTGAAGATGTGAAGACAAAGGCCGAACAACAAGCAAAGTTGAACGCCGTCGCACCTGAAATCTTGATGATCTCGGAAAGTTTGCAGCAGCAACCGGAAGAGATCCCATCAAATCTCAACGAACAACAATCTGTACTTGAAGATCTCGAATCAAAGAAGCAACGCCTCGAAAACCTCTTGCAGACCATACCAGCCGGCGATGCAACGGAGGAGTTGAGGCAAAAGAGCGCATGGGATTTGTCAAGACTGAAAGACCTTCTGAAGAGACTTGGCGACTCAGTCGGCGACAAGCTGGCTGCGTTAGCCGCTTTCAATGCCGCACGCAAGGATGCTGAAGATCAGCTTCTTGCCATCACTGGTCCTGTGTCTGAAGAGAAGACACCTGACGAACTGAAGAAGGACGAAGAATCGTTAGCTAGATTACAGCAAAATATCTCACAACTCAACCGTGATGGTCTGGACGACGAACAGAGAGACGAACATGCTCAACTGCTCGACCGTATCAACAAGACACTTGATGTTCTCAAGGTTTGTCGTATTTTCATCGTTTATCTATGTATCTGTATTGATTTTCACGATTTTCATTCCTATAGCAACTTACTTGCTTGCTTTGATATCCGTAAGGCTTAGCACTGAACAGTAGAGATCCTCTGAAAATCTAATCACTAGCGTTGGACTGAATTCGACTATGTTCATCTAGACGAGAGAAAAATGTTGCAAGAGTGAGAGTGTGCAGTGAGTGAGTCAGAAATTAGCTATCAATTCCCACTTTTATGGACTTTTCGGTTCATTTTCATTTCTTGCATAACCGTCAGGGCGCTCGCACTTGCAGGATTCTACTAGTTACCGTGTGTTTTTAGCAGCGTCGAAGTGCACTGGAGGACGAACTTTCTAAACGAGCAGCCGAACAACAACTGGCAGATACCATCACACCGATATCCACACGATTAGTCCAACTTGTCAACGATGCTAATCGGCTGTTGGGAGATGCAGAAGGAGTACCAGCACAATATAGACCAACTGCAGAAGATTTGGCTGATGAATGCAAGAAGGCCGAAACTCTTCTGCAGGATGCACCAAAATCGCATCCTTCTGTGCAAGCCCTCGAAGCAGTCCTATCTCCCGCTCAAAGCATGATCCCTGTCTTGCAAGAACGCGCCAACAACTGGGATGCATTTGTGCGCATAAGAGAAGAAGCGGACATTGAACTGGACAAATTGCGAAAGCCACTTGACGAAGTCTTGGCAAAACCAAGAAGATCTACCAATGACGCTAAGAAAGACTTCGATGTTATTTCTGAGGAGAGGAAAAAGACGAATATTCTCAACGACAAAGTTCGTCAACTTCAACAGCTTTCTGAACTTCTCGATCCTCTTGAGAGCGCCTATGCCGACGTTCGATTCATCGACGTTGACGCAGAACAGATGGAGAAGCAGTATGATGACGTACTGAATGAGATGTCATCTGAAATCGAGGACGAGAATCTGCTCTGTGACTCTGTAGATCACTTCAACACCGAGATGAATTCTATCTCTGATCTGCTATCCAAAGAGCCCACCAAAGAGAATATTGCAAATGTCGAACAATTCCAACTTCCGGCACTTCGAGCACAACTAGCGATGCTGAAGGAGAAACAAGACGAGGCAAATCATGCTCGTAAGCATGTGGATCCAGACTCCTCTCGCTTCGCTGCCCTAGAAGATCGTATGAAGAGCCTTGACTCGATGCTAGAAGATGCCAAGAAAGCCACTGAGAAGGACGAACAGGAGCGTATCATCGTCATGATTACTGTACGACTCTCGCAACTTGAAACGCTTCCTCTCCATGAGCTTACCGAAGATTCACTGAATGAGGTGGAGAACCAACTTCAGAATCTTCCTAAGGACAAGGCTGAACAGCTACAGAAGCAAATCGAGGACTTGCGAAATGCCAAGAAGCAACAGGATGACACTATTCGTGACACTGCTCAACGCTTGGCACAAATCGAAGATGCAATTGCTGCACTTCCAACAGCTCAAGACATTCCGACACTCGAAGACAAACTTGCACGAATGCGTGAAATTCGCGAAAGTCTACTGAATTTGCCGATTACTGCTGAGAAGGATGTTGACGATAGGGCAGAGAATGATAGGAAGAAAGTCGACGAAATGACGAAACATGATGAAGAACAACTTCAGAATATGTTGACTGAACGCGATCTTCGCAACACTGCGGTTCAATCGCTTGATCAACTCGAACAAGACGTTGCGGACATCGAACAAAGCTTGCGTGTTCCATCGACATCCTCTAATGATGTTATAGCGTTCCAGCAGAATAGAATACCAAAACTGACAGCAAGAGTAGACGCGATCGCTGACATTCCTGCTGACTTACTGCCAAAGAAGGAAGAACTTTCGCATAGAATCGACGACGTCAATAAGAAATTGGACGATCAAGTTAATGACCTGAAACGATTCGAAGACAAGACCATCGAACTACAGAATGTTGTCGACGAGTGTCGTGGCAAGATGAAGAAGCTAGAGTTACCAGAACCGATCGATACTGCTCAGAAAGATGCTGAAGACCTGTCGGCAATTCTAGCCACAATCGAGGCAATTCCTCAGGAAGAACTGTCGCCGCGAAATCAACTGGCTCGTGATGCAAGCACCATCAAGCAACAGGCTAAGGTAACCGTTTTTACTAGTTTTTCTTCATTATTTAGGTTTTGATAGAGGGGAAAGCATTTCTGGAATGATTTTAGGAGCAACTTTCTACACTGCGAAAAGCTCTTGACGATGAAGAAAAGGCTCGTGAAAGACAGGACGAGGTGAAGAACAGATTGTCAGCCATTGCCGACAGCCTAAACAAGGTTGATCCGCAAAATGTTGAATCTGCGCAGCAGCTGGTTTCAAGCCTTGAGCCTGAACTGCAGAAGCTGACTGGCATCGCTGACACATGTAATGAATTCGCTAACACTTCATCTCCTGTTGTGAGCCACGATGATCTCGACAAAACGCTTCCTGATCAAGTACGGGAATTGCAGAAGAAGTGTGAAGATGTGAAGACAAAGGCCGAACAACAAGCAAAGTTGAACGCCGTCGCACCTGAAATCTTGATGATCTCGGAAAGTTTGCAGCAGCAACCGGAAGAGATCCCATCAAATCTCAACGAACAACAATCTGTACTTGAAGATCTCGAATCAAAGAAGCAACGCCTCGAAAACCTCTTGCAGACCATACCAGCCGGCGATGCAACGGAGGAGTTGAGGCAAAAGAGCGCATGGGATTTGTCAAGACTGAAAGACCTTCTGAAGAGACTTGGCGACTCAGTCGGCGACAAGCTGGCTGCGTTAGCCGCTTTCAATGCCGCACGCAAGGATGCTGAAGATCAGCTTCTTGCCATCACTGGTCCTGTGTCTGAAGAGAAGACACCTGACGAACTGAAGAAGGACGAAGAATCGTTAGCTAGATTACAGCAAAATATCTCACAACTCAACCGTGATGGTCTGGACGACGAACAGAGAGACGAACATGCTCAACTGCTCGACCGTATCAACAAGACACTTGATGTTCTCAAGGTTTGTCGTATTTTCATCGTTTATCTATGTATCTGTATTGATTTTCACGATTTTCATTCCTATAGCAACTTACTTGCTTGCTTTGATATCCGTAAGGCTTAGCACTGAACAGTAGAGATCCTCTGAAAATCTAATCACTAGCGTTGGACTGAATTCGACTATGTTCATCTAGACGAGAGAAAAATGTTGCAAGAGTGAGAGTGTGCAGTGAGTGAGTCAGAAATTAGCTATCAATTCCCACTTTTATGGACTTTTCGGTTCATTTTCATTTCTTGCATAACCGTCAGGGCGCTCGCACTTGCAGGATTCTACTAGTTACCGTGTGTTTTTAGCAGCGTCGAAGTGCACTGGAGGACGAACTTTCTAAACGAGCAGCCGAACAACAACTGGCAGATACCATCACACCGATATCCACACGATTAGTCCAACTTGTCAACGATGCTAATCGGCTGTTGGGAGATGCAGAAGGAGTACCAGCACAATATAGACCAACTGCAGAAGATTTGGCTGATGAATGCAAGAAGGCCGAAACTCTTCTGCAGGATGCACCAAAATCGCATCCTTCTGTGCAAGCCCTCGAAGCAGTCCTATCTCCCGCTCAAAGCATGATCCCTGTCTTGCAAGAACGCGCCAACAACTGGGATGCATTTGTGCGCATAAGAGAAGAAGCGGACATTGAACTGGACAAATTGCGAAAGCCACTCGACGAAGTCTTGGCAAAACCAAGAAGATCTACCAATGACGCTAAGAAAGACTTCGATGTTATTTCTAAGGAGAGGAAAAAGACGAATATTCTCAACGACAAAGTTCGTCAACTTCAACAGCTTTCTGAACTTCTCGATCCTCTTGAGAGCGCCTATGCCGACGTTCGATTCATCGACGTTGACGCAGAACAGATGGAGAAGCAGTATGATGACGTACTGAATGAGATGTTATCTGAAATCGAGGACGAGAATCTGCTCTGTGACTCTGTAGATCACTTCAACACCGAGATGAATTCTATCTCTGATCTGCTATCCAAAGAGCCCACCAAAGAGAATATTGCAAATGTCGAACAATTCCAACTTCCGGCACTTCGAGCACAACTAGCGATGCTGAAGGAGAAACAAGACGAGGCAAATCATGCTCGTAAGCATGTGGATCCAGACTCCTCTCGCTTCGCTGCCCTAGAAGATCGTATGAAGAGCCTTGACTCGATGCTAGAAGATGCCAAGAAAGCCACTGAGAAGGACGAACAGGAGCGTATCATCGTCATGATTACTGTACGACTCTCGCAACTTGAAACGCTTCCTCTCCATGAGCTTACCGAAGATTCACTGAATGAGGTGGAGAACCAACTTCAGAATCTTCCTAAGGACAAGGCTGAACAGCTACAGAAGCAAATCGAGGACTTGCGAAATGCCAAGAAGCAACAGGATGACACTATTCGTGACACTGCTCAACGCTTGGCACAAATCGAAGATGCAATTGCTGCACTTCCAACAGCTCAAGACATTCCGACACTCGAAGACAAACTTGCACGAATGCGTGAAATTCGCGAAAGTCTACTGAATTTGCCGATTACTGCTGAGAAGGATGTTGACGATAGGGCAGAGAATGATAGGAAGAAAGTCGACGAAATGACGAAACATGATGAAGAACAACTTCAGAATATGTTGACTGAACGCGATCTTCGCAACACTGCGGTTCAATCGCTTGATCAACTCGAACAAGACGTTGCGGACATCGAACAAAGCTTGCGTGTTCCATCGACATCCTCTAATGATGTTATAGCGTTCCAGCAGAATAGAATACCAAAACTGACAGCAAGAGTAGACGCGATCGCTGACATTCCTGCTGACTTACTGCCAAAGAAGGAAGAACTTTCGCATAGAATCGACGACGTCAATAAGAAATTGGACGATCAAGTTAATGACCTGAAACGATTCGAAGACAAGACCATCGAACTACAGAATGTTGTCGACGAGTGTCGTGGCAAGATGAAGAAGCTAGAGTTACCAGAACCGATCGATACTGCTCAGAAAGATGCTGAAGACCTGTCGGCAATTCTAGCCACAATCGAGGCAATTCCTCAGGAAGAACTGTCGCCGCGAAATCAACTGGCTCGTGATGCAAGCACCATCAAGCAACAGGCTAAGGTAACCGTTTTTACTAGTTTTTCTTCATTATTTAGGTTTTGATAGAGGGGAAAGCATTTCTGGAATGATTTTAGGAGCAACTTTCTACACTGCGAAAAGCTCTTGACGATGAAGAAAAGGCTCGTGAAAGACAGGACGAGGTGAAGAACAGATTGTCAGCCATTGCCGACAGCCTAAACAAGGTTGATCCGCAAAATGTTGAATCTGCGCAGCAGCTGGTTTCAAGCCTTGAGCCTGAACTGCAGAAGCTGACTGGCATCGCTGACACATGTAATGAATTCGCTAACACTTCATCTCCTGTTGTGAGCCACGATGATCTCGACAAAACGCTTCCTGATCAAGTACGGGAATTGCAGAAGAAGTGTGAAGATGTGAAGACAAAGGCCGAACAACAAGCAAAGTTGAACGCCGTCGCACCTGAAATCTTGATGATCTCGGAAAGTTTGCAGCAGCAACCGGAAGAGATCCCATCAAATCTCAACGAACAACAATCTGTACTTGAAGATCTCGAATCAAAGAAGCAACGCCTCGAAAACCTCTTGCAGACCATACCAGCCGGCGATGCAACGGAGGAGTTGAGGCAAAAGAGCGCATGGGATTTGTCAAGACTGAAAGACCTTCTGAAGAGACTTGGCGACTCAGTCGGCGACAAGCTGGCTGCGTTAGCCGCTTTCAATGCCGCACGCAAGGATGCTGAAGATCAGCTTCTTGCCATCACTGGTCCTGTGTCTGAAGAGAAGACACCTGACGAACTGAAGAAGGACGAAGAATCGTTAGCTAGATTACAGCAAAATATCTCACAACTCAACCGTGATGGTCTGGACGACGAACAGAGAGACGAACATGCTCAACTGCTCGACCGTATCAACAAGACACTTGATGTTCTCAAGGTTTGTCGTATTTTCATCGTTTATCTATGTATCTGTATTGATTTTCACGATTTTCATTCCTATAGCAACTTACTTGCTTGCTTTGATATCCGTAAGGCTTAGCACTGAACAGTAGAGATCCTCTGAAAATCTAATCACTAGCGTTGGACTGAATTCGACTATGTTCATCTAGACGAGAGAAAAATGTTGCAAGAGTGAGAGTGTGCAGTGAGTGAGTCAGAAATTAGCTATCAATTCCCACTTTTATGGACTTTTCGGTTCATTTTCATTTCTTGCATAACCGTCAGGGCGCTCGCACTTGCAGGATTCTACTAGTTACCGTGTGTTTTTAGCAGCGTCGAAGTGCACTGGAGGACGAACTTTCTAAACGAGCAGCCGAACAACAACTGGCAGATACCATCACACCGATATCCACACGATTAGTCCAACTTGTCAACGATGCTAATCGGCTGTTGGGAGATGCAGAAGGAGTACCAGCACAATATAGACCAACTGCAGAAGATTTGGCTGATGAATGCAAGAAGGCCGAAACTCTTCTGCAGGATGCACCAAAATCGCATCCTTCTGTGCAAGCCCTCGAAGCAGTCCTATCTCCCGCTCAAAGCATGATCCCTGTCTTGCAAGAACGCGCCAACAACTGGGATGCATTTGTGCGCATAAGAGAAGAAGCGGACATTGAACTGGACAAATTGCGAAAGCCACTCGACGAAGTCTTGGCAAAACCAAGAAGATCTACCAATGACGCTAAGAAAGACTTCGATGTTATTTCTAAGGAGAGGAAAAAGACGAATATTCTCAACGACAAAGTTCGTCAACTTCAACAGCTTTCTGAACTTCTCGATCCTCTTGAGAGCGCCTATGCCGACGTTCGATTCATCGACGTTGACGCAGAACAGATGGAGAAGCAGTATGATGACGTACTGAATGAGATGTTATCTGAAATCGAGGACGAGAATCTGCTCTGTGACTCTGTAGATCACTTCAACACCGAGATGAATTCTATCTCTGATCTGCTATCCAAAGAGCCCACCAAAGAGAATATTGCAAATGTCGAACAATTCCAACTTCCGGCACTTCGAGCACAACTAGCGATGCTGAAGGAGAAACAAGACGAGGCAAATCATGCTCGTAAGCATGTGGATCCAGACTCCTCTCGCTTCGCTGCCCTAGAAGATCGTATGAAGAGCCTTGACTCGATGCTAGAAGATGCCAAGAAAGCCACTGAGAAGGACGAACAGGAGCGTATCATCGTCATGATTACTGTACGACTCTCGCAACTTGAAACGCTTCCTCTCCATGAGCTTACCGAAGATTCACTGAATGAGGTGGAGAACCAACTTCAGAATCTTCCTAAGGACAAGGCTGAACAGCTACAGAAGCAAATCGAGGACTTGCGAAATGCCAAGAAGCAACAGGATGACACTATTCGTGACACTGCTCAACGCTTGGCACAAATCGAAGATGCAATTGCTGCACTTCCAACAGCTCAAGACATTCCGACACTCGAAGACAAACTTGCACGAATGCGTGAAATTCGCGAAAGTCTACTGAATTTGCCGATTACTGCTGAGAAGGATGTTGACGATAGGGCAGAGAATGATAGGAAGAAAGTCGACGAAATGACGAAACATGATGAAGAACAACTTCAGAATATGTTGACTGAACGCGATCTTCGCAACACTGCGGTTCAATCGCTTGATCAACTCGAACAAGACGTTGCGGACATCGAACAAAGCTTGCCTGTTCCATCGACATCCTCTAATGATGTTATAGCGTTCCAGCAGAATAGAATACCAAAACTGACAGCAAGAGTAGACGCGATCGCTGACATTCCTGCTGACTTACTGCCAAAGAAGGAAGAACTTTCGCATAGAATCGATGACGTCAATAAGAAATTGGACGATCAAGTTAATGACCTGAAACGATTCGAAGACAAGACCATCGAACTACAGAATGTTGTCGACGAGTGTCGTGGCAAGATGAAGAAGCTAGAGTTACCAGAACCGATCGATACTGCTCAGAAAGATGCTGAAGACCTGTCGGCAATTCTAGCCACAATCGAGGCAATTCCTCAGGAAGAACTGTCGCCGCGAAATCAACTGGCTCGTGATGCAAGCACCATCAAGCAACAGGCTAAGGTAACCGTTTTTACTAGTTTTTCTTCATTATTTAGGTTTTGATAGAGGGGAAAGCATTTCTGGAATGATTTTAGGAGCAACTTTCTACACTGCGAAAAGCTCTTGACGATGAAGAAAAGGCTCGTGAAAGACAGGACGAGGTGAAGAACAGATTGTCAGCCATTGCCGACAGCCTAAACAAGGTTGATCCGCAAAATGTTGAATCTGCGCAGCAGCTGGTTTCAAGCCTTGAGCCTGAACTGCAGAAGCTGACTGGCATCGCTGACACATGTAATGAATTCGCTAACACTTCATCTCCTGTTGTGAGCCACGATGATCTCGACAAAACGCTTCCTGATCAAGTACGGGAATTGCAGAAGAAGTGTGAAGATGTGAAGACAAAGGCCGAACAACAAGCAAAGTTGAACGCCGTCGCACCTGAAATCTTGATGATCTCGGAAAGTTTGCAGCAGCAACCGGAAGAGATCCCATCAAATCTCAACGAACAACAATCTGTACTTGAAGATCTCGAATCAAAGAAGCAACGCCTCGAAAACCTCTTGCAGACCATACCAGCCGGCGATGCAACGGAGGAGTTGAGGCAAAAGAGCGCATGGGATTTGTCAAGACTGAAAGACCTTCTGAAGAGACTTGGCGACTCAGTCGGCGACAAGCTGGCTGCATTAGCCGCTTTCAATGCCGCACGCAAGGATGCTGAAGATCAGCTTCTTGCCATCACTGGTCCTGTGTCTGAAGAGAAGACACCTGACGAACTGAAGAAGGACGAAGAATCGTTAGCTAGCTTACAGCAAAATATCTCACAACTCAACCGTGATAGTCTGGACGACGAACAGAGAGACGAACATGCTCAACTGCTCGACCGTATCAACAAGACACTTGATGTTCTCAAGGTTTGTCGTACTTCCAACGTTGATTTTTGTACCTAAGCATTATGTTTATTTGCAATTTTTTGTGTCTCTTTCTTCCCTAAAGAAACGTCTATTTTTTTATGTTTACTTTTATCGTGGAAAGAAGCATCCCTCGAGCTTAAGCGAATCACTACTCTTTTGAAGTTCAACGTGGACTATCGCATTAAAGGCAATGTCCGCTCAAAAAGTCATTTTTGAAATATTGCGCTTAGCCGGGCCTATTCGCTCTGCTGAATCTAAAAATCCATGTTGGAGCGCGAAAATGACGAAAAAGAACTCTAACGCAGGAGGAACCTAGCAGGTGAGCGGGGTCCTCCTCACTGTGATTCACGCTCCCGGCTTCTGTAGTGATCTTCTCGGATGCGATTTCGAGTCACGCGTTTGCACTTGGCTGGTGGAGAGTCGGCTCGGCTAACGGAATCGAGAAGATTGCTCCGGAAGCTGGGAACATGTATCCACAGTGGGGAAGACCCTCCCTCCTGCGTCCGAGGCTTTTTCGCCGTTTTCGCGCTCTCCAGTGTGGTTTCGGATTCAGCATAGCGAATAGCTCGGTTAAGCACAAAATCCCAAAATCGATTTTTTGCCCAGGCACTGCCTTTGAGGCATCTCAAAATGAGGATACCTGGGCTCTAGGTCTTAACCGTTTTTCCAGTTCTCAGCATTCATTGATTTCAGCTGCAAGCGATTAGATGGGGGGACGCCCATTACTTGTGGGTGTCAATTAGAAACTGCCGCGACGCGACGTCACAGTTACCCGGGCGAGAGGCAGCAGGGCCACAGAAAAGACCCCGAGGAATTGGTTGGGGGTCAAGTTATTGCAGTGAACAAAAAGTTCACATTTCCCGATCAGAAACATGACAATTTCTATATTTCCTTTCTCTATCTTACCTTGCAAGTTTTGTGGCCAAATATTCATCAAACAATGAAAACTGATGTAGTATTGTAAAAACCTTTAAAAAAAGGAACAGTTAGCCCAAGATGGTTAGTCCATGCTTTGTAAGCCTGGTGCATGTTTTTTCTTCGGCGGGCGTCTCTGTTTCTCCTTGTTATCTTCCTTCACTAGGCACAAGTTGATGTACAAAGGCACCTTCCACTCTCTTGACTCATAGCTGGGGAGATCTTTTGCTATACCACGTTGGATTCCTCATCGAGTAGTTTCCCAACTCACGCGCTTCAGGTTCCCTTCAAAGCGAGCACCTAGTTCCAAAATAATGAATGACGGAGACTCAAAGGTCACAACTCCTGGCAGAGGTCTGCTCGTTTAGCGCTTTCCATTTGACGCACTTTGACGCGGCGGTCATTGCACATACTGCGTAACGGTTATGTTTGACAAGTGCAAGATCGTCCAAACTTGCTTGCTCCTGAGAGACTTTCCGGAAATTTTGGTGCTTGAACTTCTTATTCAAAATCAGAGCAAAGGGTGAGATGACAGCAACTTTCATTCGAAATGGGTGGATACTGCCGCCCGCTCACGATCAAATTCTTTTTCCAGTTTCTATCATTTCTGATGAAAGATATTTTGCAAAGTCAACGACAGTTGCAACGTATCGGTAGATAGTATGGTCTGTTATGGTATCCTATCTTCGAGTGTAGAGCCGCACTTTGATCTTTCGAGGCAAACACGGCAAGAAATTTGCGTGCGACTCTTTGCCGTAAGCTTGACTTAAGAATTGCTTCGCGAAGCATACGCGCAGTAATGCGCACAGGTCTGTTCGTGTCTACGCTTGGAAATAGTTTAGTATTTTTGCAGTCATTCTAAGAATGTATATTCAAGACAACTGGCAAAGTTCTAGTCTCTAAGAAATAGGACCCACCGGAGGAAGCATCACCGTAAACGAGCTGACACAATTATTTGAGAGAAATTCACTCGTAGCTTCAGAGGTGCTGCTTGTGCTTCAATTTTTCCAGTCGCAAAATTCCACATATCCGAATCCAAAGACTGTAAAAAAAGGCCATTCCGAGTAATGATTCAAGTGCAGAGTGATTAACTCCGATGATAAGTCAAAAAATTTGAACTTAGTTTTTCACGAATTCATTATTCAAGTCATTTTATTAGCTACACAAAACCTCCAATCACATATGCTCACGAAGTCGATTTCTGATAATCATCAACCTCGCTCAAATGTCTTGTGCTGATCAAAAAGAGTACGGATGTTCAGCTCGGTCCGATTTTTGACCTACGATAAACACTGAACTCATAGTTCTTGTCTGAATTTCGATTGCGGAAAGTCGATTCAGGGATTTTTCTCACTGAAGCATCCAGGCATTCAGTAAGCATTTTACAAGACATAAGACCTCGATGGATCTAGAAAGCGGGGTCAAATTCACACACCTCGTCAATTGGCTCTTGTCTCATCGCCCATTCTCTTGAAGAAGTCTTTCCCCGAAATCACATGCGAACTTTCTATCATCGAAACCCTAATTGGTAAAACAAGCTTTTTGCGGCGGACATAAATCCAGAATCACTTACTGTTGAATCAGCATCGTCGCGAAGCTAGATTGTGCAACGTGATCAAACATCGTCTCAAAATGTAGGTTTCACATTCGAGATTCCCAATAAGAAAACTTAGGGGGCACTTAGGCAACTAAGACATTGTTAGAGCTAGATCGCGTCGTTTTATTCGAAGGCAAAAAGTTTACTCTAGGGTACTGCTTCTAGTTCTCCTTGTCTAGCAGACAACTCCAAAACGCACTCGTGCGACAGTATCACGCGTGCTCAGCTTTTCGCATACCTGCCTATTTCACTTCCCGTCACATCGAAGCGGATCCCTTTCACACTCGCACGGAAGCCGTTGCGAGTGTGAAAGGGATCCTTTACGCAGGGTCTATGGAAAAGTTCAGACATTAATAGCGAGAGAGACTCGAATGATAAGTGATGGATTCAGAGAAGGACGAAAATTAGTTTGAAAAAAATTGAGACTGACTTCCTACTTGAACTCAATATCAATGCGAGATGCACAGTTCCCAGTGAAAATAATGCAATACTATGTGATGCAAGCTGTTTATCAATATCTGTTTCAGCAGCGTCGGGGCGCATTAGAGGACGAATATGCGAAACGAGCAGCCGATCAACAATTAACAGATGCCATCGCTCCAGTATCCACACGATTAGTCCAACTTGTCAAAGATGCTAATCAGCTGCTGGGAGATGTAGAAGGAGTACCGGCACAGTATAGACCAACTGCCGAAGATTTGGCTGATGAATGCAAGAAGGCCAAAACTCTTTTGCAGGATGCACCAAAATCGCATCCTTCTGTGCAAGCCCTCGAAGCAGTCCTATCTCCTGCAGAAAGCATGATCAAGATCTTGCAAGAACGTGCCAATAATTGGGATACTTTTGTACAACTGAGGGATGAAGCGGATATTGAACTAAGCAAATTGAGAGAACCGCTTAACGAGGTATTGGCGAAACCACGAAGAACTATCAACGACGCAAACAGAGATTTTGATCGATTGTCTGAAGAAAGAAAGAAGACAGATGGCCTTGATGACAAAGTCCTTCAACTCCAACAGCTTTCTGAGCTATTTGATCCTCTCGAAAGCCCCTATGCAGACGTTCGCTTTATCGACGTTGATAGGGAACAACTGGAAAAACAATATGATGATGTCTTGTGTGATTTATCAGCGGAAATTGAAGATGAAAAGCTTCTGCATGACTCTATGGATCACCTCAACACCGAAATTAGCTCTATTTCCGATCTGCTATCCACAGAGCCCAGTAAAGAGAATATTGAAAATGCTGATCAATTCCAACTTCCGGCACTTCGAGCACAACTAGCGATGTTGAAGGAGAAACAAGACGAGGCAAATCATGCTCGTAAGCATGTGGATCCAGACTTCTCTCGCTTCGCTGCCCTAGAAGATCTTATGAAGAGCCTTGACTCGATGCTAGAAGATGCCAAGAAAGCCTCTGAGAAGGACGAACAGGAGCGTATCATCGTTATGATTACTGTACGACTCTCGCAACTTGAAACGCTTCCTCTCCATGAGCTTACCGAAGATTCGCTGAATGAGGTGGAGAACCAACTTCAGAATCTTCCTAAGGACAAGGCTGAACAGCTACAGAAGCAAATCGAGGACTTGCGAAATGCCAAGAAGCAACAGGATGACACTATTCGTGACACTGCTCAACGCTTGGCACAAATCGAAGATGCAATTGCTGCACTTCCAACAGCTCAAGACATTCCGACACTCGAAGACAAACTTGCACGAATGCGTGAAATTCGCGAAAGTCTACTGAATTTGCCGATTACTGCTGAGAAGGATGTTGACGATAGGGCAGAGAAGGATAGGAAGAAAGTCGACGAAATGACGAAACATGATGAAGAACAACTTCAGAATATGTTGACTGAACGCGATCTTCGCAACACTGCGGTTCAATCGCTTGATCAACTCGAACAAGACGTTGCGGACATCGAACAAAGCTTACCTGTTCCTTCGACATCCTCTAATGATGTTATAGCGTTCCAGCAGAATAGAATACCAAAACTGACAGCAAGAGTAGACGCGATCGCTGACATTCCTGCTGACTTACTGCCAAAGAAGGAAGAACTTTCGCATAGAATCGATGACGTCAATAAGAAATTGGACGATCAAGTTAATGACCTGAAACGATTCGAAGATAAGACGATCGAACTACAGAATGTTGTCGACGAGTGTCGTGGCAAGATGAAGAAGCTAGAGTTACCAGAACCGATCGAAACTGCTCAGAAAGATGCTGAAGACCTGTCAGCAATTCTGGCCACAATCGAGGCAATTCCTCAGGAAGAACTGTCCCTTAGAGGACAGCTGGGTGAAGATGCAAGCACAATCAGGCAACAGACAAAGGTAGTTTAATTAGCTATTTCTATGTAAGATATATTTAGAAATAACATTTCAGGAGCAACTTTCTACACTGCGAGAAGCTCTTGACGATGAAGAAAAGGCTCGTGAAAGACAGGACGAGGTGAAGAACAGATTGTCAGCCATTGCTGACAGCCTGAACAAGGCTGATCCAGAGAATTTCGAGTCTGCTTTGCAGCTAGTTTCAAGCCTTGAGCCTGAACTGCAGAAGCTGACTGGCATCGCTGACACATGTAATGAATTCGCTAACACTTCATCTCCTGTTGTGAGCCACGATGATCTCGACAAAACGCTTCCTGATCAAGTACGGGACTTGCAGAAGAAGTGTGAAGATGTGAAGACAAAGGCCGAACAACAAGCAAAGTTGAACGCCGTCGCACCTGAAATCTTGATGATCTCGGAAAGTTTGCAGCAGCAACCGGAAGAGATCCCATCAAATCTCAACGAACAACAATCTGTACTTGAAGATCTCGAATCAAAGAAGCAACGCCTCGAAAACCTCTTGCAGACCATACCAGCCGGCGATGCAACGGAGGAGTTGAGGCAAAAGAGCGCATGGGATTTGTCAAGACTGAAAGACCTTCTGAAGAGACTTGGCGACTCAGTCGGCGACAAGCTGGCTGCGTTAGCCGCTTTCAGTGCCGCACGCAAGGATGCTGAAGATCAGCTTCTTGCCATCACTGGTCCTGTGTCTGAAGAGAAGACACCTGACGAACTGAAGAAGGACGAAGAATCGTTAGCTAGATTACACCAAAATATCTCACAACTCAACCGTGATGGTCTGGACGACGAACAGAGAGACGAACATGCTCAACTGCTCGACCGTATCAACAAGACACTTGATGAATTAAAGGTATGTTGTTTTTCTCCTTGTTCCTAACGATACAAATATGTAACTCATGAAAAGAGCATTTTTTCCATTTCGTCACGTGACCGTCTCACCTGAATGTTCAGTTCTCTTTTTCACTGCTTTTTTGGCTTTGAAAACAAGATGATTTGAAGGATGCTCTAAAACTTCCGGTTTAATGAAGGATTTGGGCGGTGCCTTGAGTAAGTGGTTAAGGAGCCCATTATCGCAGAACACCAATGTATCAACGTCGAACTTCGTTTGCGATTTCTCTTTTCTATGCTGCACCATTTAGAATCTAGTAAAAAGGCGTCTGTTCATCCAGTGGTGTGACAGCCAGAAAAATAAGAGGTCTGAGACCTTCCTTTGCCCAAGTTGCACTCGCTTAGTTGGCATGCTTCTACTGTGATTTACTGAAATAGATTACCCTATTTTCAGGTGTATAAGCCGCACCCTTTTCACTCTAAGGTCGCACACGTCAAAAGACTGCCTGTTACGATGGGGCGCGTTAAGTGAGAGCAATGTGCGAGAAAGCGACTGCTTCGCGGGGCACATGCGCAGCGGCACGACTATATCTGCTCGCGTTTAGAGCAAAAGGGTGCGGCTTATACTTCTAGATTTGAGAAAGAAGACCATGCGCTTTACTATAATGCAAAAACGGCGGAAGTAGGAGCTGTAGAAAAGAATCACTCAAATTCTGAATTTTTGTGTGGTGTTTCCAAGAATCTGAAACTTGTATAGAAATGGTTTAGGTTTCTGGCCCGCTCTCTTCATCTGAGCAAGAAGCGCGTTGACTGAGCTTTTCTCTGGAAAATTATGATTTTCGTCCAAGCATTATGTACAAAACGGCAAATTGGATTTTTGGCATTTTTCTCGAAACAACTTTTGATAGAAACCCTTAATCAGCACAAAAGCTCCTAGGGAAGAAAGAGCAGGTAGTAATACTCGCCAAATGGATTCGATTTTATAACAAGTTCAGACAGATCTTTGGCAACCCTACACAGAAAACTCAAACTCTGATAATTTTGTTCCCCACAGAAAAATCAAAGCTCGAGTAATTTTGTTATGAAGCTTCTTTCTTTGGGTGTTTGCATAAGTCTTCCAGATGAATTTGTGAAGCATGACTTTCTATTTCAAGTGTAACTAGTTACACGTGAAATAGTTCCTATTCCAAGTGTAACTAGAGTTGTGCAATTTCATGAAACTAACATGTTCTGAACTCTTGAAAATGGTGCGAATGAATTCTCTGGCCAATCAAATGGAAGCGTAAACCTTGGGAATGAGCTAGGAATGGGGATTAAACATTCCCAATGTTTGTTGTTTGTTTTCTTAGTCGGAAAAACCGCTTTGAATGCTAGCTGCTAGCTGAATTTCACAGTAACGTGATACTCAGATTTTTTGTGAAAATGTCCGTTATATGCTAACTTGGTCGTACCAAATCCCCAGCTGTGCCTACTTTCGCATTTTAAATTTGAAGGAAAAGTCTAGTCTTCTATTTATAATGCAGAAGAATTTCACTCCGAGAACTCCTTTTACGACATGTTAAAGGCACTATACACCCTAAGTTGAGGATGTTGAGCTTTTGCAGCTGCAGCTTATAAAAGTAGGGCCCCTATCAATCCAATGCCCCCCAAGTCGCGGCGCAAAATGCCGCTTCAAACGAGAAAATCTGTTCGGAATAGCGAAGATGCACGAGGACCCCCATCCATGCCCGCCCATTTGTGCGCGCCCATCCAATCACCATTCCGGAAAGCCGGCCTGTGGGTCCTCCGGAACGGGGATTCCCGGGATTTTCGAGCAGCCCCCCAAGTCGCGGCGCAAAATGCCGCTTCAAGCGAGAAAATCTGTTCGGAATAGCGAAGATGCACGAGGACCCCCATCCATGCCCGCCCATTTGTGCGCGCCCATCCAATCACCATTCCGGAAAGCCGGCCTGTGGGTCCTCCGGAACGGGGATTCCCGGGATTTTCGAGCAGCCCCCCAAGTCGCGGCGCAAAATGCCGCTTCAAGCGAGAAAATCTGTTCGGAATAGCGAAGATGCACGAGGACCCCCATCCATGCCCGCCCATTTGTGCGCGCCCATCCAACCACCATTCCGAAAAGCCGGCCTGTGGGTCCTCCGGAACGGGGATTCTCGGGATTTTCGAGCATTCTCGACTTCATATTCGGAATCAGGGGCATGAGAAGGCCCTGAAACGACAAAAACGTGGAAGTCGAAAATCTGGGTGGACGGTGCCTTTAACTCATATTCATTCCTCATCGGGAATCAAAATCTTCCCTGAATTTTTCACAAGGTCTTAAATACAGAGTGGGTAGATGCCCTTTCTCATTTTGCAACATTTGATAATTATGAGGATAATTTATGCATATGCCTCAGATTACCTACGTACATTGCTCGGTTAATTTATTCGGCTCGAAAACTTCCCTTCATCTGTGGAAAACACGACATATGAATATTATTAACAAACAGATAAAAAACCATGTTTTTTAGCATCGTCGAATTGCCCTGGAGGACGAACTCTCGAAACGAGCAGCCGAACAGGAACTGGCAGATACCATCACACCGATATCCACACGATTAGTCCAACTTGTCAACGATGCTAATCAGCTGTTAGGAGATGCAGAAGGAGTACCAGCACAATATAGACCAACTGCAGAAGATTTGACTGATGAATGCAAGAAGGCCGAAACTCTTCTGAAGGATGCACCAAAATCGCATCCTTCTGTGCAAGCCCTCGAAGCAGTCTTATCTTCCGCTCAAAGCATGATTCCAGTCTTGCAAGAACGCGCCAACAACTGGGATACGTTTGTAGGAGTGAGGGATGAGGCGGACACAGATTTGAGTGATATGAGAGAGCCACTTGACGAAGTGACAGCAAAACCGCGAAGATCTATCAATGACGCTAAAAAAGACTTCGATCTATTATCTGAAAAGAGGAAGAAAGCAGATGTTCTTAGCGACAAAATTCAGCAACTTCAACAGCTTTCTGAGCTTCTCGATCCTCTCGAAAGTCCTTACGCAGACATACGTTTCATAGACGTCGACAGAGAGCAACTCGAGAAGCAGTACGACGACGTACTATGCGATTTATCAGCGGAAATTGAAGACGAGAACCTTGTATGTGACTCTGTAGATCACTTCAACAACGAGATAAATTTCATTGCTGATATGCTATCCAGAAAGCCCACCAAAGAGGACTTGCAAAACGTTGGACAATTCCAGCTTCCAGCACTTCAAGCACAACTAGCAATGCTGAGGGAGAAACATGATGAGGCAAACCATGCTCGCAAGCATGTGGATCCAGATTCCTCTCGCTTCGCTGCCCTAGAAGATCGTATGAAATGGGTTGTAACGCTGCTAGAGGACGCAGAAAAAACTGCCGAGAAGGATGAACTAGAGCGTATCATCATTATGATCACCGTCCGACTGTCGCAACTCGAAGCGCTTCCTCTTCATGAGCTTCCCGAAGATTCACTGAACGATTTGGAGAATCAACTTCAGAATCTTCCTAAGGACAAGGCTGAACAGCTACAGAAGCAAATCGAGGACTTGCGAAATGCCAAAAAGCAACAGGATGACACTATTCGTGACACTGCTCAACGCTTAGCACAAATCGAAGATGCAATTGCTGCACTTCCAACAGCTCAAGACATTCCGACACTCGAAGACAAACTTGCACGAATGCGTGAAATTCGCGAAAGTCTACTGAATTTGCCAATTACCGCTGAGAAAGATGTTGACGATAGGGCAGAGAATGACAGGAAGAAAGTCGACGAAATGACGAAACATGGTGAAGAACAACTACAGCACATGCTGACTGAACGCGATCTTCGCAACACTGCGGTTCAATCGCTTGATCAACTCGAACAAGACGTTGCGGACATCGAACAAAGCTTACCTGTTCCATCGACATCCTCTAATGATGTTATAGCGTTCCAGCAGAATAGAGTACCAAAGCTGACAGCAAGAGTAGACGCAATCGCTGACATTCCTGCTGACTTACTGCCAAAGAAGGAAGAACTTTCGCATAGAATCGATGACGTCAATAAGAAATTGGACGATCAAGTTAATGACCTGAAACGATTCGAAGATAAGACCATCGAACTACAGAATGTTGTCGACGAGTGTCGTGGCAAGATGAAGAAGTTAGAGTTACCAGAACCGATCGATACTGCTCAGAAAGATGCTGAAGACCTGTCAGCAATTCTGGCCACAATCGAGGCAATTCCTCAGGAAGAACTGTCCCTTAGAGGACAGCTGGGTGAAGAGGCAAGCACAATCAGGCAACAGACAAAGGTAGTTTAATTAGCTATTCCTATGTAAGATATATTTAGAAATAACATTTCAGGAGCAACTTTCTACACTGCGAGAAGCTCTTGACGATGAAGAAAAGGCTCGTGAAAGACAGGACGAGGTAAAGAACAGATTGTCAGCCATTGCCGACAGCCTGAACAAGGTTGATCCGCAAAATGTTGAATCTGCGCAGCAGCTGGTTTCAAGCCTTGAGCCTGAACTGCAGAAGCTGACTGGCATCGCTGACACATGTAATGAATTCGCTAACACTTCATCTCCTGTTGTGAGCCACGATGATCTCGACAAAACGCTTCCTGATCAAGTACGGGAATTGCAGAAGAAGTGTGAAGATGTGAAGACAAAAGCCGAACAACAAGCAAAGTTGAACGCCGTCGCACCTGAAATCTTGATGATCTCGGAAAGTTTGCAGCAGCAACCGGAAGAGATCCCATCAAATCTCAACGAACAACAATCTGTACTTGAAGATCTCACATCAAAGAAGCAACGCCTCGAAAACCTCTTGCAGACCATACCAGCCGGCGATGCAACGGAGGAGTTGAGGCAAAAGAGCGCATGGGATTTGTCAAGACTGAAAGACCTTCTGAAGAGACTTGGCGACTCAGTCGGCGACAAGCTGGCTGCGTTAGCCGCTTTCAATGCCGCACGCAAGGATGCTGAAGATCAGCTCCTTGCCATCACTGGTCCTGTGTCTGAAGAGAAGACACCTGACGAACTGAAGAAGGACGAAGAATCGTTAGCTAGATTACAGCAAAGTATCTCACAACTCAACCGTGATGGTCTGGACGACGAACAAAGAGACGAACATGCTCGACTGTTGGATCGTATCAATAATACACTTGATGTTCTCAAGGTTTGTGATTTTCTACCACACCATATATCTGCGCTTCATTTTTCAACATGGACAATTTCGAACAAGTAATTTTGGGTGAGCTTTAGGACACCGATATGCCTATCGCGGCTTACTTTGGAATTATAAAGCGCGTTGATAGAGCAAGAAGAAATATGGCATTTTTTCTGCTTATTTCAATCAATATACTCCTAGCTGTTCGACGCTTTTAATTCACGATATTCAAGCACAAGGATGATTCAAATAAAATCAAAAATTGCGAAACTTCTCCTAAGATTAATTCTCTCATGGAATGCGAATCAGTAGCCAAAAGAGTTTTCGAAGCCTCTTTACCCCTGAACTCATCTGCACTTGTGCACTCTTTGAACATAATCGAAAAGCAGTCCAACATTTTTCTTGAGAGCAGTGGCTCGCAAAAATCCCAACAGTGCGCTTTCTTTTCCTTAGCCGATGCGTCTAGACCAGACCGGTGCTTGAAAGGTAAAAAAGGGCTTTTTATGGCGTTTTCCGACCCAGGAAATTGCTCAGGAGGCTGGAGCGGAGATTCCTGCCAAAAACAGTGACGGCTGCAAGACTATAACACCACTCTTTGGTGGCAGTTGGCTGATTGGCCCAGGCAGCCAATCGCGACTCTGCTGCGGGAACCTCTGCTCCAGCCTCTTCAGTGATCTCCAAGGCGAGAACGCAATAAAAAACACTTTTTTGACTTTTAAAACACATCTTCAATCTAAACGCATCCAGAAGGTCAAGGAGAAGCAGAAAGCGAGCAGTTACAATTTTCCCGAGCCACTGCCTTCTAGCGAGATAAGCGAGCGGCGGCTGGCAAATGCTCTTGATTATTGGCAGGGCGCCTCATCTGCAGTACTTTTATATAAACTTTTACTTGCATTCTAGCATATTACTGAGCTTATGAGGAAAGGCACCGAACTTAATTTGACCCTTTAAAATGGCATATGTTCAGAATCAGCTTAAAACACTGATTATGCTGTCCGTACTTCGAAGCGTCACTTTAAGTATGCGTTATTGACAACTGAATGAAGAGAAGGATTGTAGATAGGAAACCGCCTGAAAAAGGTGGTGAGATATCAAAACAACATCTGAGTCATCTGGTGCTAGTAGGGAACATTATGCATTCAGATCGCTAACTAGATGGTCAACAATACATCAGTGTATTGTCGGACACGTAAATTTTGCTCGGAAAGAACTCATAAGGCCTCGGACAGAGTTCACGCGCTTTGATCGTCGCGATTCACTCGCTGCGATTTCCATTCATTTTTATTTTACATTCAAAAATTTCGGGCTGGAAAAGCGTCACAACCGAAGTGGAAGCTGGTCGGCATGCAATGAACTCGTAACAGTTGTCTTGTCGCGATTGAATCGCGACGATCAAATCGCGTGAACTCTGTCCGAGGCCTCGAAAAACTACAGACGCCAAAATGTAAAGTTAGACTGGCATAGAGCGCTAAGCCTAGTGTTTGCAGCCTAGTGCATAGCCACACTCAAGAACAACCCATTTCGCAGTTTCTGGCGTACAGAGCAAGATCTAACATCCAAATATAATAGAACGCACATTTGCCGCACAACACTTTTACTGTGGTGCGCAATACTTTTACTGCGAAGTACGCCCTTTTTTAGCCTACTAATTCGAAAGCAGTACTATACTCAATATCAAAAAATATTCTACTGCATTTTACAAGCAAACTAGCTGGCAAAGCCGGCTCCGCCCGGCCCTGTCATTATTATATTCGTAATCAGCATGCTCGATTACCCCCCCCCCTGTGCCAACTCCCAGCCCCGTAGCTCAAATTTTGCAAAAAATCGATAAAATCGATATCGATCGATAACGAAAAGTAGCCTATGACACGCTCCCTGCCCCGAAGTATATGTGTGCCAAGTTTGGTCCAAATCGGTTCAGAAATAAAAATTTCTATTCCGCACATACGTACATACAGACAGACATACAGACATACATACACACATTCAACGTTATATATAAGATTTGGTGAAAATGGCTAACAAATAACCTTGTACATGTTTTAGCAGCGTCGAAGCGTTCTAGAGGATGAACATGCGAAACGAGCCGCCGAACAACAACTAGAAGATACTATCACACCGATATCCACACGACTGATCCAACTCGTCAGTGATGCCAATCAGCTGTTAGGAGATGCAGAAGGAGTACCAGCACAATATAGACCAACTGCAGAAGAGTTGGCTAACGAATGCAAAAAAGCCGAAACTCTTTTACAGGATGCACCGAAATCCCATCCTTCTGTGCAAGCCCTTGAAGCAGTACTATCTCCTGCCCAAAGTATTCTTAATATCATGCAAGAGCGTGCTGACACCTGGGAGAGGTTCGCAAAACTGAGAGAAGAAGCAGACACCGAACTGAGCAGACTCAGAGAATCACTTGACGAAGTGCTTCAGAAACCAAGAAGACCAATAAATGATGCCAAAAAAGATTTTGGTGCGCTGTCCGAACAAAGGGATAAGAGCGATATCAACAACAAAATTCGTCAATTACAACAGCTATGTGAATCACTAAGTCCACTTGAAAGCCCCCATGCAGATGTTCGCTTTATCGACGTTGATTCAGAGCAACTGCAAAAACAGTATGAAGACGTGATGACTGATTTATCTGCGGAAATAGCTGAGGAAGACCTTCTTTGTAACTCAGTAGATCACTTCAATAACGAGTTGAACTCGATCGCTGATCTCTTGTCAAAAATGCCCGATAGCGAAGATATTGAGAATATTGAAAAATTCCAACTTCCTGCGCTCCGAGCTCAGCTGCTAATGCTAAAAGAGAAACATGACGAAGCAAATTATGCTCGAAAGCATGTGGATCCAGAGCCCTCTCGCATTAGCGTTTTAGAGGATCAAATGAAGGCAGCTGATTCACTGCTTGAAAACGCGAAGAAAACAGCTGAGAAGGACAAACAGGAACGTATCATCGTCATGATCACCGTACGACTTTCGGAACTTGAAACGCTTCCTCTCCATGAGCTTACCGAAGATTCACTGAACGAGATGGAGAACCAACTCCAGGATCTTCCTAAGGACAAGGCTGAACAGCTACAGAAGCAAATCGAGGACTTGCGAAATGCCAAAAAGCAACAGGATGACACTATCCGTGACACTGCTCAACGCTTGGCACAAATCGAAGATGCAATTGCTGCACTTCCAACAGCTCAAGACATTCCGACACTCGAAGACAAACTTGCACGAATGCGTGAGATTCGCGAAAGTCTACTGAATTTGCCGATTACCGCTGAGAAAGATGTTGACGATAGGGCAGAGAATAACAGGAAGAAAGTCGACGAAATGACGAAACATGATGAAGAACAACTTCAGCACATGCTGACTGAACGCGATCTTCGCAACAGTGCGGTTCAATCGCTTGATCAACTCGAACAAGACGTTGCGGACATTGAACAAAGCTTGCCTGTTCCATCGACATCCTCTAATGATGTTATAGCGTTCCAGCAGAATAGAATACCAAAACTGACAGCAAGAGTAGATGCGATCGCTGACATTCCTGCTGACTTACTGCCAAAGAAGGAAGAACTTTCGCACAGAATCGATGACGTCAATAAGAAATTGGACGATCAAGTTAATGACCTGAAACAATTCGAAGATAAGACGATCGAACTACAGAATGTTGTCGACGAGTGTCGTGGCAAGATGAAGAAGTTAGAGTTACCAGAACCAATCGAAACTGCTCAGAAAGATGCTGAAGACCTGTCAGCAATTCTGGCCACAATCGAGGCAATTCCTCAGGAAGAACTGTCGGCTCGAAATCAAGTGGCTCGTGATGCAAGTACCATCAAGCAACAAACAAAGGTAATTTTCGTTTGCTGTTTTCTGAGGTTGGTGCAAACTTGGTGCTCTTCTCTTGTGCATCGTTCTTTTTTTCTATAAAAATTGTTTCGAAGTGAATTTGAAAAAAAAACGAGTATTTTTGCATGTTCCTGTGCACATTCACTTCAAAGATTAAGCTCGGACATATTCTGTCGCCAGTTTTGGTTAGGAAAAGAGATGCCAACAGCCAGTTCATAATCATAAAGGGTATCCTTATGACCACAGACTGGCTATGGTCATAAACATTTTGAAGGGGAAGGAGGTTCACCAATCGTGGCATATACCCTGCGAATCGTAGTTGATCGGAGGACTTGCCAACGCTACATTTATTATTCGACGGATGCATCTCAATAAATAGACCAAGGATTTATTGAGATGGGAGAATCTCTCCCTCACTATAAGAGAGATCCTCATGTTTTGACATCTCTCATCACCACCTGTTGATTCCCCTCCTACGTAACAGCTCTTTTTTGCTGTTTTCGCACTCTTCAGTGTGGATGTTCGGATTCAGCATAGCGAATAGCCCCAGTTAAGCAGAAAATCTCAAAATCGACTTCTTGCCCGAACACGGCCTTAAAGGCCCAGGACATAGGCCCTGGGCATACCTCTCGCGACTTTAGTCGCCACGCGACTTGCCCATTTGCCAGATCTCTCCGAACTAAACACTCGCAGACCAGGAATGCTTGGTGTATTCAACTTTCAATAACCGGTAGAGTGTGCTGTTTTCCATGTGCTCAGATTGAGTTTGCGGCGAGTTATAAGCAACTGGAGTATTGCCAAATCGCGTCGCGACTGAAATCTGTGAGGTATGCCCGGGGACATACGTGATTTCAGTCTGCGCGATTTGGCAGCTTTTCATCATTGGGTGTAAAGCTGGGAAGAACTTTGCTGGGGAAAAATACGTGTTTGTGACAATATACAAAAGCTACGCGCCTGTGCATATGAAAGCAGCGCCCAGTAAATCCGTAAAGACCTGGCAAAATGCCAAGTCACAAAGTTTCAGCGATTTGACGAATCGATGGAGGTACAGTCGAGTAGATTTTTCGCTTAATGTAGTGTGCTTGCACAGAAGGTGAAATTGCGGTAGAATCTGCGCGTGATCAGGTAGCTGCGCCAGCACTGCCGGCATTTTGCGCGCGCACTTGGCGGCATCAAGGTCGAAGCTAATTCCTCACGCGCAAATTTAACCGCATTTCACCTTCTGTGCAAGCACACTATATTAAGAGAAAAATCTGCTCGACTGTATGTCTTGGGTCTACGACCGGCATTCCAGGGATAGCGATTTGTTCAATCGCAAGTATTGACAAGTGTCATCACCAAAGGGGCCTAATTTACTGTCAGGGTGTGATATGTACAGGGCATTCGAAAAATCGTGACGATGGCGCGACCGCGCTGACAGGCACGCATCTCCCTGCAACCGCATTTTCTTGGTTTTAATCTCTACTCGAATGGTTTTTCCGCTTAGTTATGATAGTACTATGATAGTACACTGGAACTGACTGAGCGTTGAGATGATGCCTTTTTGTATGAGGGTGTTATGCTTCTGTTGGCGCAAAGACCGCAGAATCCGTTGTCACGATAAATGAATCTTATCAATATCCCATTCGGGCAAGTTTTCCGTGCAGTCTAATCCAGTCAGGCGTGGGCGTCCAAAGCATATGATGCGCGAAGTCATTTCTGCCTGATTGTGCAAGAGCCCGGTCAGGCAGAATCGAGTTTATCTGCACCTGGTCACCCGTCCAATCTCGCTTGACCACAAATTTTATAAAATAGCGTGTTTCTATGAAGTGGCCGAAAACGTTAGTAAATCGAACGATTTATTCAATAGTCAACGAACAAGGACTGACAATTTTATGTTGCAAGAAATTTGTCTGATTTGAGATTTAATCTAGCATAATTATGAAAGTTACAAAAGTTTCAGAGCCCGTACTGGAGAAATCTGGCGTTGAAACTTCTGTAATTTTAATAATCAAATCAAATCAAATCTCTCGGACAAATCTCTTGCAACATAACAATAATCAAACCCTCGTTCACTGCTGAAAGGGCGATGCAAACTAACCCGATTCTGCTTGATTGGACTCTCGCACGTTCAGGGCCCACGTTCGCGCATCAAGTGCGCACGCGTCTGACTGGATTATGGTGTACGGGAACACTTGCCCAAAGAGATTGACACATACGCTAAAGATCCGTTACCTTCTGTATGCAAAAAAACACTGCTGCTGGAAACCTCCGGAGTGCTTGATTTAGAGAGAGACAGTAAATTCGAATCAAGTCTCATGAACAGCTAACAACATATAACTCCGCATAAAATTCTCACCCAAAACTCCATGCACGATATTCTCAGAATTCGAACGCTAGAAGATCATTCTCGGCTGAGAATGAAAAAAAAAGACAAAGACAAACGGCTATGCCAGCCCCATACTCACTGCACCTCTTTTACTGTGTCAAAGAAATTTGTCTCCTCACACAGAAATATCTATTCAAAACAAAAAGCCTAGTATCAATCTTGAATACTGTTGTCATTCGTTCTTGGAAGTGGAACATCATAAAATATTTTTTAGGAGCAACTTTCTACACTGCGAAAAGCTCTTGGGGATGAAGAAAAGGCCCGTGAAAGGCAGGATGAACTAAAGAACAAATTGTCAGCCATTGCCGACAGTCTGAACAAGGTTGATCCAGAAAATTTCGAGTCTGCTTTGCAGCTAGTTTCAAGCCTTGAGCCTGAACTGCAGACGCTGTCTGGCATCGCTGACACTTGTGATCAATTCGCTAGCACTTCATCTCCTGTTGTGAGCCACGATGACCTCGACAAAACGCTTCCTGATCAAGTACGGGAATTGCAGAAGAAGTGTGAAGACGTGAAAACGAAGGCCGAACAACTAGCAAAGTTGAACGCTGTCGCACCTGAAATCTTGATGATTTCAGAAAGTCTGCAACAGCAGCCAGAGGAGATCCCATCAACTCTTGACGAACAGCAATCTGTACTTGAAGATCTCGAATCAAAGAAGCAACGCCTCGAAAACCTCCTGCAGACCATACCAGCCGGCGATGCAGCGGAGGAGTTGAGGCAAAAGAGCGCATGGGATTTGTCAAGACTGAAAGACCTTCTAAAGAGACTCGGCGACTCAGTCGGCGACAAGCTGGCTGCGTTAGCCGCTTTCAATGCCGCACGCAAGGATGCTGAAGATCAACTTCTTGCCATCACTAGTCCCGTGTCTGAAGAGAAGACACCTGACGAACTGAAAAAGGACGAAGAATCGTTAGCTAGATTACAGCAAAATATCTCACAACTCAACCGTGATGGTCTGGACGATGAGCAAAGAGACGAACATGCTCAACTGCTCGACCGTATCAACAAGACTCTTGATGTTCTCAAGGTTTGTCATATTTTCAACGTTTGCATTGATTTTCACGACTTCTCTCCTAGAGCAACTTTCAGCGAGCTCTGATATTCGTAAGGTTTAGCACTGAATGGAAGAGATCCTGGAAGAAAGATCCTTACCTTGAACTGAATACGATTACATTCTCTAGAGTAAAGAGCAGTGTTAGAGTGAGATTGTGGAGTGGGCCATATGTAGGTAGCAGTGGCGGACTGAGGGGGGGGGGGAGGTAGCGAGGGGACAAGAGAATGGGTCGCGAAAATTTTGAAATTTACTTACGTGGGTTATAAAAGTGTGCAAGTGACTTGTTTATTTTTGTAAACAAAATAATTTTTAAAATTTTCTAAAAATTCAAATTAGCCTTGTGAAAAACTTTTTTCGAAGGCTTGGGGCCCGCAAAAATCTTGAGAAACACCCCTAAAATTTTTTTAGGAGGTGCGTATTTCCAAAGTACTTTATACATTCTCTATTCGTTGAACCTGGGCATTTCTAAAGGTGTATTCTGTAGTTTTCTGCGCAAGCTAAACTGTATCGTATCAAACCTGGGTGATACATGAAACTACAACATGGTATGTCCCTGGCCCGCATGCATTCAGCAGCCTCTTCGATTATGTAGTAGAATGCGTTCGGCGCATGCCTGCAGAGGGCAATGAAGACGCCGAATCCTTTATCCTTTTCATCCTATATCCTCATTCTCCAGGAATTCTTCATTTACACAAACAGCAGTCACGGAGCTCGTTCACGCAATGATTAGCTAATTGCAGTGTTTTCAGCAGCGTCGAATTGCCCTAGAAGACGAACTTGCAAAACGGGCAGCCGAACAACAACTGGCAGATACCATCAAACCAATATACACGCGATTAGTCCAATTAGTCAGCGATGCTAAGCGGCTGTTGGAAGATGCAGAAGGAGTACCAGCACAATACAGACCAACTGCAGAAGATTTGACTGATGAATGCAAGAAGGCCGAAACTCTTCTGCAGGATGCACCAAAATCGCATCCTTCTGTGCAAGCCCTCGAAGCAGTCTTATCTCCTGCTGAAAGCATGTCTAAGGATCTGCAGGAGCATGCCAACAACTGGGACGCATTCTCAAGGTTGAGAGAGGAAGCGGACGTCGAACTCGGCAAGCTGAGGAAATCACTTGACGAAATGTTGAGAAAGCCACGAAGAACGACAAACGACGCTCAGCAAGATTTTGATATGCTATCGGAAGAAAGAAAGAAAATTTATAATCTCAGTGACAAAATCCGTACACTTCAACAGCTTTCTGAACTACTCGAACCCCTGGAGAGCCCTCGTGCAGATGTTCGATTTATCGACGTCGATATCGAACAAATGGAGAAGCAGTACGATGACGTATTATGTGATTTATCAGCAGAAGTCGAAGACGAGAACCTTTTGAGTGATTCTGTGGATCACTTCATCAACGAGATTAACTCCATCTGCGATCAGCTATCTAAAGAGCTTACCAGAGAGAACCTCGAAAATATCGAGAAATTCCAGACTCCTGCTCTTCGAGCGCAATTAGCTATGTTGAAGGAAAAACAAGATGAAGCGAATCATTCCCGTAAACATGTGGATCCAGACTCTTCTCGTCTCGCTGTTTTAGAAGACCGTATGAAGTCACTTGATGCACTGCTAGAAGACGCGAAGAAAGCCGTTGAGAAGGACGAACAGGAGCGTATCATCGTCATGATTACTGTACGACTCTCGCAACTTGAAACGCTTCCTCTCCATGAGCTTACCGAAGATTCACTGAATGAGGTGGAGAACCAACTTCAGAATCTTCCTAAGGACAAGGCTGAACAGCTACAGAAGCAAATCGAGGACTTGCGAAATGCCAAGAAGCAACAGGATGACACTATTCGTGACACTGCTCAACGCTTGGCACAAATCGAAGATGCAATTGCTGCACTTCCAACAGCTCAAGACATTCCGACACTCGAAGACAAACTTGCACGAATGCGTGAAATTCGCGAAAGTCTACTGAATTTGCCGATTACTGCTGAGAAGGATGTTGACGATAGGGCAGAGAATGATAGGAAGAAAGTCGACGAAATGACGAAACATGATGAAGAACAACTTCAGAATATGTTGACTGAACGCGATCTTCGCAAGGCTGCTGTCCAATCTCTGGATCAACTTGAACAAGACGTTGCTGACATTGAACAAAGCCTGCCCGTTCCATCGACATCTTCTAATGATGTGCTGGCGTTCCAGCAGAGTAGAATACCAAAGCTGACAGCAAGTGTAGACGCAATCGCTGACATCCCTGCTGACTTACTGCCAAAGAAGGAAGAACTTTCACATAGAATCGATGACGTCAATAAGAAATTGGACGATCAAGTTAACGATCTGAAACGATTTGAAGATAAGACGATCGAACTACAGAATGTTGTCGACGAGTGTCGTGGCAAGATGAAGAAGCTAGAGTTACCAGAACCGATCGAAACTGCTCAGAAAGATGCTGAAGACCTGTCAGCTGTTCTGGCCATAATCGAGGCAATTCCTCAGAAAGAACTGTCGCAGCGAAATCAACTGGCTCGTGATGCAAGTAACATCAAGCAACAGATAGAGGTATTTGCTTTTCATTCAATCATTCATGAACGTACAGAAAACAATTTTGATTTACATTTCAGGAGCAGCTAACAACATTGCAGAATGCTCTTGGTGATGAAGAAAAGGCTCGTGAAAGACAGAATGAGGTGAAAAACAGATTGTCAGCCATTGCTGACAGCCTGAACAAAGTTGATCCACAGAATGTCGAATTCGCTCAGCAGCTGGTTTCAAGCCTTGAGCCTGAACTGCAGAAACTGACTGGCATCGCTGACACATGTAATGAGTTTGCTAACACTTCATCTCCTGTTGTGAGCCACGATGACCTTGACAAAACGCTTCCTGATCAAGTACGGGAATTGCAGAAGAAGAGTGAAGATGTGAAGACGAAGGCCGAACAACTAGCCAAGTTGAACGCTGTCGCACCTGAAATCTTAATGATCTCAGAAAGTCTGCAACAGCAACCAGAAGAGATCCCATCAACTCTTGAGGAACAGCAATCTGCAATTGAAGATCTCGAATCAAAGAAGCAACGCCTCGAAAACCTCTTGCAGACCATACCAGCCGGCGATGCAACGGAGGAGTTGAGGCAAAAGAGCGCATGGGATTTGTCAAAACTGAAAGACCTTCTGAAGAGACTTGGCGACTCAGTCGGCGACAAGCTGGCTGCGTTAGCCGCTTTCAATGCCACACGCAAGGATGCTGAAGATCATCTTCGTGTCGTAACTGATCACATCTCAGAAGCGAAAACTCCTGATGAACTTAAAAAAGACGAAGAATCGCTAACCAAGTTGCAAGAAAGTATTTCTCGGTTGAACCTGGAAAATCTAGACGACGAGAAGAGGAGCGAATACGCGCAATTACTCGACCGCATCAACGAGATTCTGCTTGCACTCAAGGTTTGTTCATACATTTCTTTCACAGATACTTTGAAATTGAAAACAACTGAGAGGTTGAGCTTGAATATAATATTTCTAAAACATGGCGTGGCATTCACCACGCCTTCCATTGAAAGATTTGAACAGGTTTTTTGAAATTTTGGTTGAAATTTTGTGTCAGAAATAATACTACGTCTTCACATGAATAACTATTTCTCCTGTGAGTAACTCGACTTGATACCATGTATTTTCAGCGGCGTATAAGCGTGCTAGAGGATGAACTTGCAAAACAAGCAGCAGAGAAAGAAATCACGGATGCCATCAGTCCTATATCTACACGACTGATACAACTTATCAATGATGCTAACCAGCTCCTAGGAGATACAGAAGGAAATCCGTCATATTATCGACCAATTACAGAGGAGATGAAAACTGAATGCGAAAAGGCCGTTAATATCTTGAAAGATGCTCCAGAATCTCATCCTTCTGTTAATCCTCTCAAAGTCGTGCTCTCTTCCGCCACACACATGGTTCCAGCCTTGGAGGAACGCGCTAACAACTGGGACTTATTCGTGCACCTAAGGGATGAAGCCAGCAAACTTCTAGAAGCGGTATTGAACAAACTTAGGAGCGTGCAAGAGCGAACAGAATTAGTCCCTATTACAACAGGCGAACTACAACTGCAAAATCTAAAAGTGAGCATAGCTATGACTTCTTATAGTACGTATCTAAGTTTTTTTTGCAGTATCTATATGTGGACATCGAGCGGCTTCGCTCTGCAGAGAAGGAGCTCAATGAGATCGCGTTGTCACTGCAACCTTCACTGCATGTTTCACAAGAAGTCCGCTTCTTTACAGTTGATCAAGAACGTACAGAAAAGCTATATGAGGTATTTCTAGCCTTTCCTAAAAAAAGTTTAGTCAAATTTTGTACTTTTGCAGGAAATCACAGAACGATTAGCTGCAGAGATCACCGCTGAAGCGCAGTTGAATAGAACTTTGGATATACTAACAACCGAGCTCAACAACTGCAGCGAAGAGCTCAGCGCTGAAGACGACCAACAAAAAGATATTCTGGTGAGTAGCGATTAAACATCATATTACAATGTATTAGGCTTTGACGAATAAGCAGTGAGTTTGTAAGTAGGAAATGACATGTTCCAAAAAATCTCTCTTCCAATCTGGCCGCAATCTTCTCACAAATCGAGACCAGACTGAAAGAGATGCAGTCCGTAGTGTCATCAGGCGCCGAAGCAGTAAGCTGAGCGGCGCGAAACGCGCGCATAGCCGTTGATTCAACTGGCTTGGCTTCGGGAGGGCGGGGTTTTATGACCTGGTTGAGGCCGCTGGCGCACGCGACGCACCTGCGTCTCTCTCGCGCGAGTGCTCTGATCATCTACCTAGCCTTGATTAGGTCACGAGGCCCTCCCTCCCGAAGCCAATCCAGTTGAATCAAATGGTATCTTCATGTTGTAAACCTTGCGCCTAGTGAGTGGACTCTCGTGAGACTTAAAGGCACACCCAAAATCTCGAATTCAATGTTTTTGTCGCCTTCAAGCCTTCTGAAAGCCCTGATTCCGAATATGGAGTCGAAAATCCGCGAAACCCCCAAAAATCCTTGTTTCGAGAACCCTCTGCAAGAAGCGCAGGCGAAGCATGCAAGTGGGCAGGGCGACCTAGGTCGCCCCACCTACTTTGCTACTTCCGGAGCGGATTTCTCGCTCCAGAAGCAGTCTTTTGCGGCGAAGCTTGAGGGTTTGCCTAGTTTGGGGCCCACACTAGTATGCCATCATAATCTCGCCAACCTCCATTTTGGGTGGACGGTGCCTTTAACCACCAATGCCTGAGAACACTTGTCGGCAACATCTGCGCTGAACGAATTGCAGCGCTTGTAAAGCCGCTAATTTGCGCATGCAAGATGGCCACAAAGCGCACTAGACTTCTGCGCCCGTTGGGAATTTGCTCACGCACAGTGTTGTCGGCAAATGTTGACACCATAAAAACACTATATCAAGCATCAGGTCTATAAGCATGCAATCAACTTCCCTAACCAGCTCGTGAAATACGAGAAGATAGTGTGAAAAGTATGATCGTCTCCGCGATTCGTGTAAAGGCGGGTTGGGGACTTTCCCTTGTTTTAGGGACTAATTTGTGAAACCTCCACGTCATAGCACTGTTTTTCGTACTCTCTCGCTATCAAAAACCGTCACGCATTGAGTTGGCAAAACCCCGCCTCTACATGAATCGTGGAGTCGGTGATAGAAATTATGGCTTGATTTCGCGACGAATCGACATGAGTCCAAAAAACTGATTTCAGAGTCATGAGTCACTTCTACTGGACATTATCGCTCATTTGGAAAACCAAAAGGTGATCGTGGAACGTAGTGCGCAAAGTCGTCGGTTTATCGAGAGCAGCACCTCGGCTAGCCTTGATCGACTTATGCAACGTGCTCAAGACCTTCTGGAAGCGCTTCGACAAGCGCCTCAAGCAAGCATGGAAGTAGCAGCACCAGAAGAATATGATGTCGATGCTGCTGCTGAAGTACTTGCCGCATTATATCCCGAGACACATCCATATAGTGTACTCGCTGAACATGGATTCGAGGGGCTTCCGTCAGACACAGACTCGATGAGCGAGTTTGAATCCATCGACGGTTCGTCTTCGGGAATGCTTTCCCCGATTCCGGACACCGCCACTGGCATTGTGGCGGCTTCACAATTCCGTCGCCAACGGTCGCGATGGAGACGGGTTCTACGTACAGCATTGCCTCTTCAGGTTGGTAACATCTCTTTTTAATCAAGTCCGATGCATCTTCTCAAATTTCACTCACTACGGTGTCCATGAGTCAATGCTCCTCTTTCATTGACACCTTTATACGCCAAAAATAAAGATACCTTCGATTTCAGGCAATGCTGGTTTTGCTATTGGGAGCAGCTTGTCTGGTCCCACACTGCGATGACGAGTATTGTTGTCAACTTCTTAATAACTTCGCAAGAAGCTTTGATCCATCTCTTGAATTTATCAATGGACCTCCGCCTTTCTAAACAGCACGAAGGTGTACAATTTGATGCAGGCTTCATATGTTTTTTTTGTTAATAAAAAGATTATATAACTTGTTTATGTTATATTTTTCGGAACATACAAATCGGTTCAAGAAATTTCCCACTGCATTAATTCGCACTCGAAAAGCACAGCTGAGTTAGTCCGATGGGTCTCCGCGCTTATATCTGCGACTGCGCAGCATAAGTTTCTACGAAGTAGAACATGTAAAAGTTCCGTTTAGACTGCTCAATAAAAGGGCTAGTGCTGACATATCTTTCAGAAGGAAGTCATTTCGTGCGCCACCGAGCGCAAGGATACTCCCTTGTACGACAAAACATGTACGACTCACCTGTTATGATTCCAAGCAATGAGTTAGCGGAAACATTCGAGTACCGACCTTATTCTCAGTCCATAAAAATCCAAATGTACGTCGCAGCAGTCCGCACGAGCAGCGTCCTTCCAACCACCAAGCGTCCAGGTCGCAATGGGAGCTTGCCAGCTCATTTTTGACTTGTTGCCACCTGTCAAGCGAAAACCTCGGCCTGACCATGTCAGTACCCGTAAAATCACCTTCAAATCTGTTCAGCACATGAAACTGGACACTACGTGTCGAGGGTGAAAACAAACAGAAATGCTTCTGCAACACCGTGCGCAATGTTGCGCGATGCATGCGTTGCGTCGGCGTCTATACTTGCAGGGAATCGCCATGGGACGCCATGAATCGCACGTTATCAGAAGCCACCAGCTGGAACGTATCCAGTCCTCTCATTTTTTACCCTCCGCTGATGTTCTCCCCTCTCCACCCCCCCCCCCCTTCCCCCTTCCTTACATCAGTTGCCTAGCGTTATGGAAAGAATCGAGCGAGTAATGCTTTGCGCGTACTGTGTGGTTGATTTTCGTGCCCGCTTCAAACTTCGTATCCGCTATATGTACACTTTACCTACAACTCCTATTCGTATGTGAAACTGGGAATCAGTAGTAGTTACATTTGTAGTATGATATCCATTGCCGTTTCATCTCGCCATTGTTGTTTTCTTCATCGTATGTTCTTGATTTGAGGAAATAATCGCTGAACTGTCACAGTACGGCTGTTTACTTTAAGTAATTCCCAATTTTGCCAGCTATCTGTAGAGAATTACGCATTTTTATTGCTCAACTAGCTGGCTTACCCGACTCCGCCCGGCTTTGTCAAAAACGATTAAGGTCTCTTTCTTATTTCTGTACAACCTTTCCCTGTGCACACTTCTACATGCATCCCCCGCTGTGTTAGTAACCAGCATGCTCACTGCTCGCCACCTACTTTCCTCACTCCCAGCTCCGTGGCTCAAACTTTGCAAAAAATCAATAAAATCGATAGAAGTGAGGGTAATTCTAAAAAACCTGATGGCGCTATTTGGCTATCCGGGCCCCAAAATGTTTAGTGACGGACCTTGCTCAAAGTCGGTATATGGGGGTTATTTGAGCCGCTGATGACAAATATCGTAGTCATCTCGCGTGGCAGCGGGTAAAAATCGTGAACCTGCCTGCAACCTTGGCAGGTCAGATAAGCTCCATATTCAAAGTTCTGAGTGGATTCGAAGTGTTTGAATTTTGTCGCTTGAGAAGGACTTTCGTGTTATCTTGAAAGATGGGAACAAGAACTCAATTCCTAATAGTATCCAAAAGTATCTATTTTGCACAAGGTACACATCAGTATTGAAACTAAGGTTTCTCTCTTTGATATCGAAGCAAAGAGAAGTTGCGACGTCGCACGCGTCGTTCGCGTTGCCGCACTTCGCTGCGACTGTTGTACGATTTGTGCTCATATCTTCTAAACAAATATCTGCGGCACAGCTCTACAGAGTCCTTTAAAAAGTAGAAGCTTAGGCCTTTGACTTGATAACGTTGGACTAAAAGAAAACCTCCTATAAACGTCAAAAAGATCCTTCAAAGTAGCGTGCTGCACCATGTGCAGCACCGGTCCGAAACGTGTTAAAGAGCCGGGCATACTTCACGCGATTTCAGTCGCGACGCGATTTGGCAATTCGCCAGAACTCCTCAGATCAGACACTAGCAAACAGCACATGCATAGTGTGTATAACTTACATCTTATATATAAAGCTGAATGTCTGTATGTATGTATGTCTGTATGTCTGTGTGTACGTATGTTCCGAATAGAAAATTCCATTTCTGAACCGATCCGGACCAAACTTGGCACACATACACTTCGGGCCCCGGCGCGTGTCATAGGCTACTTTTCGTCATCGATCGATATCGATTTTATCGATTTTTATCGATTTTTTTGCTGAGTTCACCTACGGGGCTGGGAGTTGGCACAGGGGGGTAATCGAGCATGGGGATTCCGAATACAATATTGGTTTTCAGGATTATCGATTACTTTTATCGATTTTATCGATTTTTGCAAAGTTTGAGCTAGGGGGCTGGGAGTTGGCACAGGGGGGTAATCGAGCATGCTGATCATCCCCAAGGGGGGTGATCAGCATGCTCGATTACACCCCTGTGCCAAATTCCAGCCCCCTAGCTCAAATTTTCAAAAAATCGATAAAATCGATAAAAGTAATGGACGATCTTGAAAACTAATATTGTATTCGGAATCCCCATGCTCGATTACCCCCCTGTGCCAACTCCCAGCCCCCTAGCTCAAACTTTGCAAAAAAATCGATAAAATCGATAAAAGTAATCGATAACCCTGGAAACCAATATTGTGTTCGTAATCAGCATGCGCGATTACCCCCCTGTGCAAAATCCCAGCCTCGCATGTCAAAATTTACAAAAAATCGATAAAATCAATAAAAGTAATCGATAATTCTGAAAACTAATATTGTATTCGTAATCTGCATGCTCGACTACCCCCCTGTGCAAACTCCCAGCCCCGCAGGTCAAACTTTACGAAAAAATCGATAAAATCGATAAAAGTAATGGACGATCCTGAAAACTAATATTGTGTTCGTAATCAGCATGCGCGATTACCCCCCTGTGCAAAATCCCAGCCTCGCATGTCAAAATTTACAAAAAATCGATAAAATCAATAAAAGTAATCGATAATTCTGAAAACTAATATTGTATTCGGAATCCCCATGCTCACTTCCCCCCCTGTGCCAACTCCTAGCCCTGTAGGTGAACTCTGCAAAAAAATCGATAAAAATCGGTAAAATCGATATCGATCGATGACGAAAAGTAGCCTATGACACGCGCCGGGGCCCGAAGTGAATGTGTGCCAAGTTTGGTCCGGATACGGCGGAGCCGGGTAAGCCAGCTAGTGCACTGATAAAACGCTCTATCTTCTGTACATTTAGAATGTGTTTACAGTGAGAGTAATGGACAGTTGGAATATTGCCAAATCGCGCCGCGACTGACATCGCGAGAAGTATGCCCGGCCCTCAAAGGCAGTGGGTCGGCAGGATGAGACCCGTGGCAAAACAAGGTCACAGGGTAGGAGCCCCATAATGGAACCTATGGGCCAAAGTTCGATCTTTCTCTGCCACTTCGAACCCCCGAAATTTTAAAGCGAAAGCAGCGCTCATCTCCTGTCCTCTCCGAACCCGTCCACCCCATAAACGAGTGATTTCCGCGGTCAGAGCGCCAGCCGCAATGCTATAAGCATGATTTCCCGCAACGACTCTTGCGTCTTCGCCATGACGGGCTTCGCGTTCACTCGTCCATGGGGTGGGCGGGTTCGGAGAGGACAGGAGATGAGCGCTGCTTTCGCTTTGAAATCGGGGGTTAGAAGTGGCAGAGAAAGATCGAACTTTGGCCCATAGGTTCCATTATGGGGGCTCCTACCCTGGGACCTTTGCCACGGGTCTCATTCTGCCGACTTACTGCCTTTAAAGGCAGCGTCCAGGCAGATCTGGACCGATGGGGCTTTTATGTGGTGAGTACTTTTGGGGCCCTAACTAAGGCACTGCCCAAGCGGCAGCTCAGGTAGTGCTCTAATGGCTGAGATATTCCCCTCGAAATTGGCCCCCGCGAACGTATTCGCATGGATTCATGGCAGTTTCGCGCCAGGATCTACGCTTTGCGCCATAAATCCATGCGAAACACGGTCGCGGGGTCCAATTTCGAGGAAAATATCTTAGGCCTTAGGGCACTACCTGAGCTGCCGGTTGGGCAGTGGCTAGTTAGGGCCCCAAAAGTACTTTCCACGTAAAATCCCCATAGGTCCAGACTTGTCTGGACGCTGCCTTTAAGCAAAAACAGGAGGGAGATTTGCCGCGTGCGTTACGCGTTGGGACAGGTTATCAGGATGGCGCTGGAGACCGCCATGCAAAACGACCGTTTCCCCATTTCGTGAACATCTGGGATATAAATTGGCCCGCAAGCAAAAAATGTCCATTCAAACCCTGCAACTCACCATAACTTCACAATAATGCGTTATGACAGCGAGCAAGCATCTTATTCATAAGCAGTATGCTTGTGAACCGTTACACGTAAGGTTTGAGCAAATCTGGAACTTCGACCTATCTACTGTACACCCACAGTAACCCAAGAAAATGCGCTATCCTGCGAAATCAACATTCATGTTCAGCGTGCTAAATGACCACCCTAGAGGAAGTTTAAAGCAGATCTATGTTTTCGATGTATCACCACCGTATAACCACCGTAACTCTATGAAAAAGTCCCAATATGCAGAGAGAGTATGAAATTTGTAATCAGCATGTCGAATAAGTTCTCTGGACCGAACTCCAGCCGAATTCATGATTTTGACTTCCTACTGTACACCTATCGTAACCACACGGGGAAACGTTCTGCGGAGAAAGTGTGATATCTATAACCAGCATACCCCCTTATACACGAAGTCGGAGCAAGCTCTACGACAAATAAATGGAGCCCGAATAGCCGAATAGCGCCAAACTGATATTGTACTCGTAATCATCATGCTCGATTACCCCCCTGTGCCAACTCCCAGCCCCGTAGCTCAAGTTTTGCAGAAAAATCGATAAAATTGATATCGATCGATAACGAAAGGTAGCCTACGACACCCGCGCCTCCCCGAAGTGTACTTGTGCAAAGTTTGGTCCGGATCGGTTCAGAAATAAAAATTTCTATTCGGAACATACGCAAGGTCA